CACCCTGACAGGGACCCAGTGCTGCCCACTCCCCATCAGCCATTGCTGCGGTGAACGTGGGGGCTGGGCCGCAGCGGGCAGGCAGGCAGTGCGGGAACAGCTCAGGGCTGAGGGCACCGTGCACTGGTCCGGGGCACGGCTCCTCGCTGCCGGCCATGGCCTTGGCCCTGTGTGCAACTGCCCTGTGCGTGGTTTCTCGTCTCTAAGTAGGGATGCGGACAGCACCTCCCATGCAGAGCGGGTATGAAGATTAAAGGAGGCAACGTTTTCAAAACACATAGCACAGTGCCCATCAGAGGGAAAGCCCCAAGGACCGTAAATATCAGCTGTCAGTGTGAGCAGGCCGGCAACACGTACCAGCCTTCACCCCGTGCAGAGGCAAACAGTCCAAGGGGTGAGCACCCCTTCCCCGGGGGGTGGAGTTGGGTTCCCCCGCCCCCTCCTCCCTGGCAGCCCAGCTTTCCAAAAGCTTCCGCCGGCTACATCAGAGGGAGACGGTGTAGCCATAGGCTTGGCCTGTCACAGGGCCGCAGGCCCCACACTGCTGCCCAGGGCAGGCAGCCCTCACTGGTGCCTTTGCCCCACCCCTGGGTGTGGCTCCATCTCTGCCCTGGTTCTTATGCCTGGTTCTGACCAGCCGCCCTGTTGGTACCCAGGTGCCCCCTGAGGTGGCGCCCACTTGGCGATCAGTGGTCGGGGTGGGGGAGGTTGCCCTTCCTTCTCTATGCTTCAGCCTCAGCGCTGGGTCTTGCCACCCACGGACGGCTCTCCACCAGCCCCCTGGCTGAGTCCTCCTGGGGCCCCTGCCCTCCACGCGCCGCTGAAGCAGCTCCAGCCCCTGCAGTGTGGCTGGGAAAGGTGCCCAGAGCTGGACTGTCATGGAAGGGCCAAACTCAGGGGCAGGGGAGGTTGAGGGCAAGACAAGAGAAGGTCCTGGGCAAAAGATGGCATGATGCAGAATGCCAGGACACGCCCATCACATGCAGCTTGAGGCTATAAAGCACTCAGCGAAGAGCTGCCTGCACTGTTCTCCAAGGTGAACGCCTTCTCCCCAGGGTCACTCTCAGTCACCCAGCCCCCCAGCAGGGCTTTAACTGATAACCATCGTCTGTACTCATCATGCCCATTCAGTCCTCCAGGCCCTGCAGAAGCGATTTCTCCTGCTGGAATGCCTGCCGACCAGCCCAGTAATGTTGCTCTCATCCAGGGCCCCCAGCCCCAGGCCTGACTCCATCTGTCCACACCTGCCGCGAGCAGAGCCAGCAGGTGGGCAATGGCTCCAATCTGCCCGGGCACTGCCTGCCACCCTGGCCTCCCAGACCCCAGCACAACCAACCACTCACATGCTCCACCACCCCGTGCTGCTCTCACCGAGTCCTCTCTCTTGGACCCACTGCCCCAGCTCAGTCTCGGCCACCATTGCCTCCAAGCTAGCGTCCTCGAGTCCAGTCTCCGGGCGTTGCTCTTCCAGCCTGTGCCGGAGACGCCCCTCCAAACGCTGGCCCACCCTTTGTCCATCTCCCCACAAGTCTTCCCTGGGCTCATGAGCCTGCAGGGATGTGCAGGACTTTGTCTCCAGTGGCCTGGAGCTGCAGGATGTGCCACCCACGGAACCCGTGTGCGTACGTGCATGTGCGTACGTGTGTGTGTGTGTGTGTGTGTGTGTGTGTGTGAGTGAATCTCTGACCTCAGGTCACCAGGCTATTTGCGATCCTCAGCAGTTTACCCCCAAGACCCCAGCATCCCTTTGGGAGTCAGGAGGGGCGACCTTCTCTGGAATGGCTGGTGGAAGCCTGGGAGGGAGGGAAGCCCTCCCCATCCTGGGCACAAATGCTGGTGCCTCTGGTCTGAGAGGGGCTCTATGATTGGATAAAAGCTGCTTTCCTTCCTGCCCCCCGCCCTCCGCACCCTCCCTGAGGTTCCCAGGCAGGTATCCAGCAGTCGCGTCCCAGGGCAGTGAGCTCGGGGACATGGTCCTCAAGGCCTGACGCTCAGAGAAGCCCTCTAGCACAGGGACTGTGGGCATTTACTCACTCCAGTGCCTCCTGAGTCCCTTTGGGGTACTTAGCACATCAGCCTCGACACCAGCTGCCATGGACTCGCTGGAAGTCACTGCACCGGACACTTCCTCCCCAGAGGCTCCTGTGTCTCACTGCAGGTCAGGGCTCAGGGCTCCCATGCACACCTGCGGGTCAGGGCTCAGGGCTCCCATGCACATGTGCAGGGCCCTCAGAGTCAAAGTGCTTTCCCATGAGAGACGCTTCTGAGTGTGCATCACGGGAAGTGGCGTTTGTGTTCCCCATTCAGCAAATATTTGTTGAGCTCCTTTACTGCCTTTTCCTTTGGTAAATAATTGCTTCATATGTACTTTGCAGCTGGATCCACAGGAGACATGCATTTCCCACCAGGACCAGCACATTCCTGAGCCTCACCCTGCTCTGCTGCCCCCTTTGTGGGCTGGAGGAAAGGTCTGGATTGGGGGCGCTGGTCAAGAGTGGAGTAGATAAAGCTACAGGCCACGGGGAGGTCAGGGTGGGAGGGGGACCCCTACAGAAGAGGGACGTGATCCTGTGGTGGGCAGGGCCCAGGAGGGGGCTCCTCAGAAGCCCAAAGGTGACAAAGCTGCGTCCTATGCAAAAGGCAGGTGCTGGGGAAACTGGGTTCAGGCTCGGGCAGCCCTCTGCTCAGAGAGCTAAGGAAGCAGAGGCGGCTGCGGGAGGAACAGTAGCAGAGGAGGCTCAGGGACAGTCCAGGACAGCAGGCACCACCCTACCGCACTGGAAACTGTCAGTGTCCTGGTTTTACAGGCAGTTTCGGAGTTTCAGGGAGTTTAGGAGCTTGCCTGCTCACTCCTCAGCTGCAGAGGCTGAGCTTGAGCCAGACACAGGCCCACTGCTTCCCCTGTCTCAGCCCCAGCCCCTGGGTCTTCACAACCTACTTACTGTGTGACCTCAGACAAGTTACTCAACCTTTCTGTGCCTTCGTTTCCTCATCCCACTGCCACAAGGGGCATAGTGAGAAAGCCTCCCTCCTAGGATTATTATCAGAATTGGACTAGTTAATCCACACAATGTCCTGAGTAAATACTCAATCCATGTTGGGAATGATGATGATTGCCTGGCTTGATGATGACAGACTCCAAGCCCCATATTTCTCACCAGGACTGGCGTTGTCCCAACAGATGACACCTGAGACCGCAGCACAGAGCTGCTGACGCGAGAGTGCTGGCAGGACTCGCCACTCCCTCTGGATTTATTATCTATGACAATTAGGGTTCTGTGGGAAGGGGCCCGGGGATTTCCACGGGCCTATGGGACTGACTACTTCCAGTTACTGGTTAACCTGTTTTCATGAGCGCGAGGCTGGGTCAGGTCCGTTTCAGGGGTCGTCCCAATGGATGAGAACAGGACGGAGGCCCTAGCAGGTCATTGGTCCACCTCGGCTGGCACGGCCCACACTGCTCGGGTGTGGGGGGCTCAGCCTTTCTTTTCTGGAAACCTGCTTGACAACACACAGGACGAACAGTAACGAGTTTACATCCTCTCACCCGGTGACGCCACTTCCAGAAATCTACCTCCAGGAAATAAAACACGCAAAATGGGCAAGTTTGTCCATCATTGCGTTGCTCGCATTTTAAGGTAAAACAGGAACAAATGTCAACTACTAGGGGGACAGCTGAAGGAGGAGCAAGCCCACGGCAAAATTATGGCCTCTGACTATCTCTTCAGACCCCATTGAACAGGGGTTAAAGTTCAATGGGGACAAAATCAGGCTTAAAACAGCTGGCGGAGAGCCTCCCTTTGCTCCTCTGTGGAAGGGGGTGACTACAGGTAACGAGGCATCCCCTGAGCCGGAAAAGAGGTCGTGCCCCTGACCAAACAGGCAGGTATTGCGTGTTGTCAAAATTCTTGCGGCACATCGGTTGAAAATCACTGTTTTATTGTATGATTTCTCAGAACTTTTGATGCAACCTGCATTTTCCAAACGTCTTTGCCCAGGAAACCCGTTTTCCACGAAGCATGTCGGACGGCGTTGGGAAGGTCTGGTTTAGCCCAACCCCCTCGCTCTGGGGAAACAGAAGCCCAGAAGCATTCAGCCACCTGCCAACCCGGGGCGGGCTGGGCCAACACCGAGTAAGAGGTGAAGCTGTCGCAGGAAACCAGAGAAGCACGGGCCGGTTCGAATGGTAAAGAACTTCCTACACATAAAGGCCACTGAAGAAATCAGCCGAAAACGAAAGATAAACTGGGCTGTTCCCTTCAACGTTAACCTTCTGAACCTTGTAAAGGCTTATTAAGAGATCAGTGAGAAAGAGTCCTGTCTTCCATAGAGGAGTGGGCACCCCACGCAGCTCAGGGACAGTATGCCCACAGCCCCCACCCCGCCGGCCTGAGCCCCAGCAGCGAGCACCTCTCTGGGGTAACCAGGCAGGTGGCGGCAGGTCCCCCGCTCCCCTCCCCCTCATTCTCTATGTCGCCAAGGTGATACTGAGTGTCAGTCTGTTGGAGTAGAAAGCAGGTGCCTGGCTCACTTGGGAGTCGCCCTGCAGCCTGGAGCCTGAGGTGCAGGCCGACAACACAGGCCCTGGGGAGGGCAGGTCCCTCAGAGAAATCATGGGGCCACCATGTTCGCTGGCCTGGTTGGGTCCCCACCTGTGCTGGCTGCCCCAGATCCCTCGGGAGTGTCCAGCTCGCCCTGCAGGGGCCATTGGGCTGGGAGACCCGCCCCACAGCTCCTGTGGCAGCTTCCGGAGGCAGGGAACATGGTCTTCTGTGAGGTGGTCTCGTAGCCACTGCCCACCCCTAAACATCTCCCCACTTGCCAGCCCCAGGGTCTAGCATCCATTGTTTCAATATATACAATGTTCCAGGCACTGGGCTGGACCTTGGAGAGACCAAAGCAGCCCTCAGTCTAGCTGGGGCACAGGCAGGCTAAAAGGAAATCACCGGCGAGCATGACACAAGCACGAGAGGAGCATGTGCAGGCGGCGGGGAGCATACCTGGGGCTGAAGCAAGGAGGCTTCCTGGAGGAGGGGGTGCCATCTTGGGTTGATTGGCGGGGCTGCATGGAGGCCTATGAGGCTGGCTCCTGGCTCACACGGAGAACGTCTTGATGGATTAACGACGTCTGTTCCTGTTACAGAGGGAGGATTAGAGCAGGGATTGTGCCAAGTACTTACTGACTCTGTGTGAGGCCTCGGTATGAGCCAGTACATCAGATTCTTCCTAAGGAAATGACAGACGGAACTCAGATTATTTTGATTATAGCAAGCACTTATTGATTATTTCTTATATGTCAGGCATAACCCGGGATGATTTCACAACAAGCCTCTGAGGTAAGAACTATTTTAATCTCTCTTTTCTAGATGAGGAAATTGATACCCAGAGAGGTTAAATAACTCGCCTGTAACCACGGACGTCAAGTGGCAGTGCTGGAAGGAACCTCAGTGATCCGTGGTCTGAAACTCTTCTTTTACAGATGAGGAAAAGGACGTCCAAGGTCATTCAGAGCTGGATGGTGGCTGGCGATCCAGCTGGCGGGGGAGGCATGGAAGGCCCATGAGGAGAACCAGGCACTGTTCAGGGTGGGTAGGAGTAAGTCCAAGACCACCAACTGTCCCCAGTATCCATACTCTCTTTTTCATTTGAACAATAAACCTTGCCGAGTTTAAGCTGGGTGTGTGGCTGCCCCACAAGAAACTACATTTCCCAGAGGCCTTTGTGGTAGGTATGGCCACATGACAAAGTTTAGGCAGACCAGATATGATCAAAAAACAAATGCTCCTGGGTCAACTTCCTAAAGATCAACTGCTGGTCCGCATGCCCTTTCTTCCCTTCCTGATGTCTGAGAATTGGTGACAGAGGGGACAGTCGCCTTGGACACGCCCTTACCATATATGGAGGCCTCCTGTGGAGACTAGGGAGCCTCCCACTACTGATCCCTGGGTGGCCCTATGGCCTTAGGCCACAGAACTGCCTGCTCAGGACAAGAGAAAGTCCTAGAGGGTCTCATGTAGGTGATGAAATCTGCACTTGTGTGCCCAGCTCAGAGGGGTTTGCACCACCTCTGCCCTGAGCTAGCTCCATGCAAACACCCCACCACTGGGCAGGGAAAATGCACCCTCCAGTGCCTCTGGGTCCCTGGCCAGGATGCCCGTGTGCTCCAGAAGCTCCACACAGAATGCAGAGCGCGAGCTCCCCGCCTTTGCCTTCAGGGCACCCAGCCAGGGCTGACCCACCCAGAGGCTCAACCCCTCAGCGATGGGTGGATGGATGAGGACAAGGCTGAGCAGGCTGAGCCTGAGCGAGCAGAGAAGGAACACGCCTCCTTCCTGCCGTGGGCCGCCCGGGCTCCTCAGCCTCCTCCCTGGTTCACACGCAGCCGAATTTGCTCCTGCGTTTCTGCATCGAGTGTCTTGGGTTGTTCTAATTCAATTCCACAGACACTGAAGGTCTGCTAAACACCAGGCACTTTTCTAGGCTCTTTGAGGCAACAGGAATGGATCCAGCGCAGCCGCTGCTCTCGCTGGGGCTCTTGGTCTGGAAGGACTGAGACAAGGCCAGGTTGATGCACCCCAGGCGCAGCCGCCTAAATGGCAGCGACGGGAACCAGCCTGTGCTTCGGAGCACTCAGCGAGGGCCGGGCAGGAGTGGTGAGCAGCATTCCAAGGAGGTTATGGAAGGGAGCGACTCCAGGTAAGAGACCTGCTGGAGCAAAGGATGCAGGCAGGCGTGTGAGTGCAGCTTCAGTTCATGTGGGCAGAGCCAGAGGGCAGGGGCAGTGTCTGCCTGCTTACTGCGGCTGCCTGGACCCTCCTTCTGCCTGAACAGAAGGTGAGGGGGCCTCGCTGTCCACCTGCTGTTTACCTTAGAGAGGCACTGTTCTCTTTGGGCCTCAGGTTCCTCATCCATGAATGAGGGGCCCCAGGCCGTGCTACACAGCAGAGAGCCACCCCAGGAGGAAGCTGTGTGGGGTGTGTGTCTGTTGTCCTTGGGGTTCAGCCCAGGTCCTGCTCTGTCCCAGGGGATTCTGACACCTGTCAGGCTGGCTGGCTGGTTCCCCAGGTCCCACCCCTGCAGGGGGGGCTCCTCCTCCCCTCGAAAGGTGAAGTGGTCACGCCAGCCAGGCCCTGTGGACCTTTCCCACCCGCTCTTCCTCCTCTTCTCAGGGCAGTGGCAGAGCTGGGCCCTGGCAGCCTGGAGAGGAAGGGCCTGTGCCCGGGGGCGCTGGGAGGGGCTGGGTTTGATTTGTTGACTGTAAAAATGTCAGCTCCTTTGGGCAGCTTCTTGAATCAATATTTGCTGTTCTGCGGCTGGGTTCAAATGCTAGCTGATCCCTGGGGCCTGGCGTCTTCCGCCCTCACCTGGGTGAGGACTCACGTCCGTCTGTCCATCTGTCCACAGATACCTGGCCGGGCCCCTCACTGCCCAGGTGGGGAGCTGGCTCCTCCCTCCCGGCCCCCCCAGAGGGGCTACCCTGACCGTTCATGGGGAAGGAAGATTGTGGGAGGAAGGACGTTTCTGAGTTTCATTCTGAGAATCGTTAACATCTACTTGGCAAGGTGTCATAGTTCAAATAAAAGGAGGGATGTGCAAGGCTTTCATCGGCTGTGGAGCGTGCAGCCAAACCACAATGACAGCCGTGACAATGATAATGATGAAGCCCTTTGCCGGAGCCTCACAGGTGCTGCCGTTGGCTCGAGCTGTCCCCTAGCCCCGGCTGTGGCAGTGATCTGGGAGCAGACAGATGCTGGGACCCTTCTCCCCGGGAACCTCTGCACCAACTGCTTGTTCTCAGCATCCAGCACCACTGCCTGGCCTGCTGCTGGAAGGGGGCCAGTGGGATGTTAGTGGGAAACACAGGGCACTGGACGGATGGATGGATGGATGGATCTTTGATCCCCCAGTTAGTGCTCTGTGCCTTTGGCCAGTTACTTAACCTCTCTGAACGCCAGGTTCTCATCTCCAGGACAGAACAAGACTTACAAAACTGCCGAGTTGCTGTGGGGTTATCGACCGTGCTCATAAAGGACCGAGCGGGGCATCTGGCGCTTAGTGGGTGCCTCCTCCCGGGCTAACACAATCCCTCCCTCCGATGGGTCTGCGCCCTGGACAACTCCAGCCACCCGCCTGGACAACGCCGTCCTGGGAAACCACGAGGCTTCTTGGCCGGCACAACAGAAGCTCCCGCCCGAGAGGGTGCTTTCAAGCAGCTCCGTCCGCGGCCCTGGCTTCTGATTTGCAGCGGCTGCCAGAGCTGCCAGCAGCTGGACTCCCGCCAGGGACAGGGCAGAGTCCACCCGGGCAGGGGGAAGCCCCGTGTCTGATGCTCAGTGGCCTCGGAGTGAGGGTGCAGGCTGGGTCTGACTCACGCAGCACCAGCCGGGGGCTCCTCACCATCACTGCAGGTGATGCAGGCCCACTGCCGACTGCAGGAAGTTCTGATGAGACGGCCACTCCTTTGAGGAGCATCACAGGCAAATCACCTGAGCTAGAGGAAATAGAAAAAGGCACAATTACTCCAGAAAACTGCAAGTTCCCTTAGAAGTGAAACATACACTTACCCTAACTCCATCTTAGAGTGAACAGCAACACAACCACAATCTTGCCCTTTATCATAACTAGCACTGGAAATGCGTTTTTAAATGTATCTTTTGAAAATGGGCAACAATGCAAAGTGGTGTGTCACCACCTTGGTGACACAAGAGCCATGAAGAGCTGCAGCCGGTGGCGTGGCCAGGTATGTTCATTTGCACCTGCTATTTCTCCAACTGAGCGAGCTGCAAAGTGAAACCACATCTTTGCATCCGCCATGGAAGAGCAGAAGGAAAGAAAATTCATCTGTCGCCTCCTTCCTGTCTCTGGTCTCTCACTTCGGTAACGTTTTCTCACCGTGAATGTATTTCCAGGCACATCCAGGTTGCATTATCCGGTCTCTTCTTGGGCTGCCCAGGTCCCACACCCCGTGGCAAAGGGTCTCATCCAACACTGGCCGTGATGGGAAAACACAAACTCTGGGGACTACTGGTTGGCCCACTGCAGCAACAGCTAGAAGAGGCTCATAGAGTGCGTATCTGATACAATTTCCCATAGCTATCACTAACCTTAACCCTAACTCTAACCCTAACCCTAACCCGAACCCTAACACTAACCCTAACCTCAGCTCTCACCTCTCCATCTAAACCCTTCCCCACTTCCCCTGTCCTTCAGACACATCAGATATTCTATCAAGTTCAACTTCCTGGAGCTCTATCTCTGGATCCTCTGGACTGGTTGCCAGCTACCCCTGTTTCACAGCTGTGGACCCAAAGCCTCCTTTCACCATCAATTAGAGATTTGCTTCCTCCCTCCATTAAGCTGGACCTCGTGTTGCCTGAATCTCACGCTTTCTTCTTTCTTAGTTTATACATTCATTTTGGTAGAAGACCCCCTGAGAAATGGGGGATAGTATGCATGGGCTGGGAACTAGTTTTGGCCTTGGTATTGAGCCTCAGACTTGAGAAGGCCAAAGAGCCACAGGCATACTTCAACATAACTCCTGGCATCCATGAGTTTGTGACAGCCAATAATTGTGTGACCTTGAGAGTCACTGTCATATCTAATTAGCATCAAAATGTCAGTAATAATTAGCACAATATTAGAATATTTACCTTCAAGTATAAGTCATCATTTTAGATGTATTTTGGAGTATCTCCTTGTGTATAGAATATGTTTTAATTCTATAAATAAGTTGAATATAAATGTATGTCTAATTCTTCAGCATTGAAATGCTGCCATAATTAGTGAGTTATTCTATTTAAAAACTATTGTGAAAAAACATTTGAATAGTTGAATACATAGGAAACAGATTATTGGTTGATATGAAGGGTAAGATAGAGTGGTTAGTCAGATAACTATTTGAAGAAATTTTTTAACTAAAAATGTTTAAAAAAAAAGTTAAGCTCCACAAAAAGGATAATAGAGGTTACATTACAACATAATTTGAATCATCACAGGATGGTTTGATGTACCAGCATTCACAACACTAACAAAATAAACTTTAAGAACTATGTTTCGCTTTTTGTTATTTAATTCTATTTAGGCCACGGCTATTTCAAGAAATTTTGCCATGACCTGTGAGGAGGTACTTTGTCCCTTCAACATTTCATAAGGAGGAAAAAACTTCAAACATCATCCATGGTGAATCATCTTCAACCCAGACATAATAATAAATATATAAGTAATGTGTAAAAAAGAAAGTTTCTAGGACAAAACGAGGTAAAGAAAACATTTTCTTCTCACTTGGCTAGTGGTTCTTAAAGTGTCCTCTGTCCCCTTCTCTTTTCTCTCTCCTTCTGAGACACTAATAACATTCGTACTAGACCCTTTCTCTGTTTCACATGCATCTCCCACTCTTTGTCTGTTTTCCATCTTTTTTCTCTCTCTCTTCACTTCAGTGTTTTCTATTAACCTGTCTTCCTCACCATGAATTCTCTCTTCTGCTGTGTAAGAAGTTCAGCTAACCAGGGAATGCTTCATTTCAGTTATTTTTTTCAGTCCTGTCATTTCCATGTGACTCTTTTTATAGGTTTCAATTCTCTGGTGAAATTTCCGTCTTGTCATCTGTTCTTAAAAATACCAACCAATTATTTTTTAGAATCATGTCTGATAACTTCAAAACCAGGATTATCTGTGAGAATGTTGATGCTGTATGTTTTCTCTCTTGGTGTTTAGTTACGGTGTTCTAGCTGGGAAAGTCTCAGCAAGAGAACGATGAAACTGGTAGAAAACATATTCATAGGGTAGGAAACCAATCTTTAGGTTGCCAATAGAAAAATCATAGTGAAGGAAGTGATTTAGGAATCACAAGCAAAAAATTTTGTATGCATCCTTAAACTGTATATTAAGAATGAAATTATAATTGCATATTTGACCAGAATTACAGGCCGAAACAAAATAGTGGGCCATTTTCATCATTATTCTTCTTTAGCCAAAGAGAAAGTATGTGACTCTGGAATTGTTTTGCCATTTATTTATGTGAGATCGTCAAATAAGATGAAAAAGCAGACTTGATTATTTTTTAAAAATGACTTACTATGTAGTTATACCAGCTGAGTGGGATTTGCTAACACCCACAAGCTGATTTGAAGAGAAACTAATTCATTTGCTAGAATCTGCTGTAGAAGTAACCAGAATAATGAACCGTGGCAGTGCCCCTTTTTCTTAAGTTATGCCAGTTAAAAAAAGACCCCCCCTTTCTTTCTTCTCTAGGGAAAATGCTGAATTTGGCCTGAGTGCAAAAAAATCTCCGATGCAGATGGAAATTTATAGATTCTGTTATTCTGAAAGCTAGTCTTGTTACTTTATTTCCACACCTGTTTATCCAAGGTTTCAAAAAGTACAAATTTGTGTCAGAACAAAAATCTAAAGTTTCGTTATGAAGATATTCCAACAGTACAGAACTTCAGTTAAGTAGCATCTTCATCAGCAACCAAATCTCTAAGTAGGAGTTGAAAACGAAATAAACATTACCTTAGTTATGTGGAGAAAAGAAAAGAATAACTCCGCAGTACTGGCAAGGAGACACTAAAAATACCTTTCTTCCCCTCCCTGCCCCCACCCTGCCCCCAAACCTGAGCGGGAAGTGGGCATCTGTGTGTGACAAACACAATGACCACAGGCGTCAGCGAGCCGCTTCCAGTGCTGACAAATGATGGCTGCTGGTTCTAACTCCGACCTTTAAAGACCAACCTCTGAAACTTGGAATATTCAAAACATATTAAGTAGTCTTCTTTAAAAATAAAATTTCTGATGTAGTCACGTGTCTCAAAAGCTCATTGGATGATGGTGGCTTTGGGCTTCAGCCAAATATGGAGGTTAGCTGGCCATTCTCAGCATCTCTCATAAGGTGGCAAATATTTAAGACCTGGCTTGTCAGAAAATGTCCTTGCTTGAGAGTTTGACCAAATGTAAAATTCTAGGTTGAAAATGCTTTTCGCACAGAGTATTGAAAGCAAGGGTCTGTATGTTCTAGCTTCCAGGGTTACTATTGAGAAACCCAAGTCCTCCTGACTCCTGCTCCTTTTTATATGACCTTGAGCACCCCGCCCGCCCGTCTCTCTTTAGAAGCTTTTCAGACTGTGCTCTTTATCCACAATGTTTTAGAAACATCACCGTTCCAGATAATGTAGCCTGTCATCTTCTGTGATGGACACTCAGATAGTCCTTCCAACATATAAATTGGTGTTTATTAGTTGGGGGAAACTCTCTTAAATAAGAAATACTTTAATGCTTTCCTCTTCTATTTTCTCTTTCACTGACTGTTGTGAGGATGCTCGTCTTTTTCTCAAGAACTGCCTTGTGACACTTGAGCTTGAGAAATCTGTTAAAATCAAAATGCAAGGTTCTATAGTCATCTCAGAATCTTCCTTATTTGTTGGAACAAAACCAAACCTCTTTACATAAAGGAGGAGGAAGACCAGTGGGTGGGGGTGGATGGAAATACAGGCTTGAGTCGGCCAGTTTCTCTTCCGCTGCCTGCCTCTTAAAACCAAAACAGATTCACACCTGACAGCAGAGACAAACTGGCCCCGCCCCAGACAACTGGTTTCCCTTCTCAGCGTGGCCGCTGACTGCTGAGCGACCGTGGGCAGGCCACATCCACATCTGGGCCGCTGTCCCTCATCTGTAAATGGAAATGTGAGAAGTACTGCGCGCCTGACCTAACCAAACAATAGGATCTCCTCCCTCCTGTCCTGAGGTGTGAAGAACGAAGAGCAGGAGGCGGAGTCAGCCACGCTTCCTTCAAGTGGAAGGAATTTTTGTGGCAGGGACATCAGGCTTGGTAGTTTTAAGGTAGTGCCCGTGTTTCTCTCTCCTCCACCCAGTGTTTGTCTAGTTGCGAGGGAGGAGAGCTTCAAATGACAATTGCAGAGACAGGTTTTCAAGGCGACCATGGGACAGGCACCTCCCACAAGGGCAGACTGCCTAGAGCATGGATGACGTCACCTGTGAGGGAAGACGGTCCGCCTCTCCCAGTTCCTGATGCCTTGATGTAGAGCCCAGAATCCAGACCTGGCTATGGGACGAGTGCTTCCGTTTCCCGGTGTGAGATCAGAGGCCTGTGGCTGTCGATTAAAAAAAAAAAATTATTATGTTTTTATTTCAGAGAGGAAGGGAGAGGGAGAGGAGAAAGAGATAGAAACATCAATGATGAGAGTGAATCATTGATTGGCTGCCTCCTGCATGGCCCACACTGGGGATCAAACCTGCAACCCGGGCATATGCCCTGAACAGGAATTGAACCGTGACCTCCTGACTGAGCCACACCACCGGCCGGGTGGTGGCTGTCATTTTGACTTGAAGAGCTTACCCACTGGGGGCTTTATCTCAGGATAACCAAGATGTCTTTCTCACCTCCCAGCCCTCTCTGCCTGCCCCCGCTGTCACTGACACAGCCTTGGCCTGGGCGCTGGTCACATCTGGCCTAGACGGTGGTGAAGCTTCCTAACTATCGCTCAGCCTCCCGCCTGGCCCCTCACAGTCCACACTCCATGGACGGGCAGTGTCACCACCAGCACACGTCTGACCAGTCACTCTCGTGTTAAACTCCGTGATGGAGCAGGAGACTTTCCCGTGCCTTGTCATTCAGTCTTGCCTTGCATAAAGAGCAAAGCGGTTTTATTTTCACCTGGCGATTTCTGTCATCCTTCATCCTTGCCTGTTAAAACAATTGATCAAATACTTTCCTGTATTTCATTTTTTCCCTCTCTACACAGTTGAAATGCTTGCAAGCTATTTTTATTCTTTTAGTGGTTGCCTTCAAAGTTTGTCACACATATTTAATCTAAAATCCTTTTTTTCTTTCTTTATTGATTACATATGTGTCCTTACCCCCCATAACCCGCCCCCCCCTTATGTCCTCACCCCCTTGGTGTCTGTGTCCATTGTTAACCTAAAATCTTAAAGTTGAACTATAATTTCCATCCTCTCCTAGAATTTAGCTCCATTTCTTTCCCTCTGAACTCAGAGTGTTTAGAATATTTTTTTAACTCAGCAAAAGACATTTTGAGTTTACTGCTATAGTTACTATTTATTTGCTTACCATCATTTCTTGCAAATGACACCATACTGTTGGCATCATTTTCTTCCTTGAAGTTTATTTTTATTTTATCCTCACCTGAGAACTGTGCCGCACTCAGCACAGAGAGGGGTGAACCTGAGGAGGGGTGGTGAAAAATTAAAGAAGACAGACAAGAGAATAAAGCTGGGGCTAGGTGGGACGCTGCTCTCGGATGGAGAGACAGTGCCACAACCTGCAAGCTGAGTCTTTATTTATAGCCAGATTCCATGAGGCAAAGTCAGGGCATGGTCAAGATGTTTACAATGTTCTCTCGGGTTTTGAATCTACTCAGTTACATGCACCTGAACCCTACCAAGCTTTGTTTTGGCAGCACTTGCTGCACCTCCCGCAGCCTATATCACTTAGCCACCTGGGACCACAGGTTCAGACCATAAGGTCAAGCTCACAACTATAGCCTTTGGCTATAATTGTGCTGGGAGGGCTTTGCCCTCCAAGCTGGGACTTGCACGTGGCTTTGCCACGAGAGGACCATGCTCTATCATTAGTCCGAGGCTTGAACCTGTCCAAATGCTGTAGCCGCTCTCTACAGAGAACACATTCATTGATTTTTGACAGAGAAAGAGAGAGAGAGAGATCAATGTGAGAGAGAAACATCCATCGGCTGCTCCTACACACACCCTAACCAAGGCTGGGAATCAAACCTGCAACCTAGGTATATGCCCTGACTGGGAATTGAACCTCCCACCTCTTGGTGCACGGGACAATGCCAACCACCTGAACCCCCGAGCCAGGGCCCTTGAAGTTTATTCTTTAGAATAGTCCCTGTCAGTATGTTGCTCTTATTCATGAATGATACTTCTGCTGAGTACACAAGTCCAGGTTGACAGCTATTTCCACTCAGTACTTCAGGGCTCGTTTTCTGGTTTCCATTGTTCTGTGGAGAAGTCAACTCTCATTCGAACCGTCCTTTTTAAGTCATCTGTCTTTTCTTTCTGGCTGCTTTCAAGGTCTTCTGTCTTTGACGTTTTGCCATTTTACTACAACGTGTCTAGGCATGGATTTGTTTTTAATTTATCTTCCTCAGGATAGTTTATACTTCCTGGATCTGGGTTCATCTGCATTTTTCATCATTTCTAGAATATCCTTACGCCTCGCTTCCATTCTCTCTATATTCCCTATCTCAGAACTCCAATCAGATATATGAGGCCTTCTCATTCTTTGATGTAGAACTCTTTCATTTTGTACGTATTTTTATATTTCTTTGCTGCATTCTAAATACATTCTCTTTTGGTGTCTAATCGTCTGTTTTATCCATCAAATGTGATTTTCATTTCAGTGCTTACATTTTTCATTGCCAGAATGTCCATTTGTGTGTTATTCACATCTGTCAGTCATTTTTGCTGGTGTTCTGCAGTAAACTTATCTCTGTAATGGCATCCTTGTCGGAATGAGACAGAAGGCAGGGTCAAAGAACAATTCAGGATGAAAATGTTAAATACTCAAACGAAATGAGGGTGATATCGCCACATACCAAAACCTGTGGAATGCAGCATATGCGATGTTTGGAAACTTTTATATCCTGAAACATTCCATCAGAAAAGAAGAAAAGCTGAAAATTAGTTAAGACTCTACACTAGGAGTTTAAAAAAAGAACAGAAAACCCAAAGATAGTGAAAAGAAGGAGATAATAAAGAGTGGGAATTAATGAAATAGAAAACAAAGAAATAGAGAGTGAACAAAGCCAAAATTTTTGGCTCTTTTGAGAGAATAATCTCTACTCATTGCCTTCACACCCACAATTTGGCTTTTACCCTCAACATTCTATTGAGGTTTCTCTAAGAAAGGAAGTCGTAAAATGTCCTGCAGCCAAATCTTAAGGCACTCTGTCAGGAGTCCCACCTCCCTCGCCTTCTGGGTGGCGGTGGGTATTTTTGACTCCTCCCTGAAGTTCAGACTCAACTATCCCAACTGCCTGCTCAGTGTCTCCACTCAGACATCTAAAGAGCATGTTAAACTGAGGTCCAAACTTGAGCCCTGAAGTCCCCCACCCCCGGCTTCACTCCTCCTGTTACTTCCCTTCATCAGAAAGGTCAACTCTATTTTTTCTCAAATTGAAAATATTTTACAAGTTGTCCTTGCTTCCTGTCTTGAACTTTTCAAGCTTTTTCTCAACCCCACAGCCACAATCATCTGGTAAAACCCGTATCAGATCATTAAGCCCTCCAGGGGCTTCCATCACCCGTGGATACAATCTAAACTCCTCGCATGGCCCCTCCAGTCAGGGCCCTGTCTGCCTCTCCATCCAAGGTCTCTCACTGTTCTGCTCATTCACTCATTCAGGATGCTCCTGCCATCTGGCCATCAAACGTGTTTCTGCCTCAGGCCTTTGTACTTGCCGTCCCCTCTACAGGGAATACTCCTCCCCTCTCCCCCGCCCCCAAGGGCTCAGGCTCACTCTGTCTCTTCACTTGGGTCCTTGCTCAGATGTCTCCACCTCGGAGAAGCCTTCTCAAAGACCTCCTGTGGAATCACACATGACTTCCCCATCCACACTCACTAGTTGTCTCCTTCGCCCTGTTCTATTTGTATTTACAACATCGCTGACCTTTTATTTATTTTATTCGTTGGTTGGTCTCTGTCATCCATCCCCACCCTACTGGAATGTATGCAGATTGTTGGGACTTTATCTGTGTTACTCATCCTGTATGCCCATATCTTGAACAGTACTGAGGACACCTTGGAGCTTAATAAATATTTAGTGAATGTCTGAATGAATGACTAAATGCATGAATAAACTGACTTGGCTGGGAAGAGCAAAGAGGGATAGGACAGACAGAGGTTGGGAGGGCTGTTTTAACTCTTTATTGCCACCTTCTTCAGAAAGCATCCGGATTTCCAGCCATGTGGTCCTTCTCTCTCTGCCCATGCATGTCCTGCCTCTTCATGGCATTTATTCCACTTATAGTCCGGATACATTTAGACTGTGACCTTGAGAACAGGGACTATATTTCATTCACCTTTGCACCCCTGACGCTGGGCCCAGTCCCTACCATATAGCAGATGCTCACTCAGTGCCATTGAGTTGAGCTGAACTCAGATTGGCTACACTAACTCTAATTTCAAATGTCTTCAGCCCAATTGTTAGCTGAGTCACTTCTGCCAAAGCAAACCAGACCTAAAAATTATGGACAGAAACACTAGATGGGATGAAGCCCTTTCGGGGGCGATTCTCCTCATAGGTCCCTGAGGGTAGGGACTAAATATAACTAATCTTTGTAAAACTTCTAGTGACCCAGCACTAATGATTATAGCATGTACTTTGTAAATAAACAAATGCTGCTTGAATACATTTTTTAAATAACCTCTTCCCGCTCTCTTTTTTTTTTCTTTTTTCTTTTGGGTTTCCTAATTTGCAAATTGTCTCTGAGGACAGTCTCAAGGACCCCTTCAAACTAGATTTTTTTTAAAAAATTCTAGCTTCTTTTAGGAGGATGCTGGTGGCTGTTGGGCCCCAGCTGGTGAGAGCCACAGGAACTTCATTCTGTAGCCAGGGTGGCGGGTGGCTTTGCCCTGTGCATCCCCTACTCTGCGGACACGCTGCAAAACCAGGAAACATGCCCACTCAGGTCTGTCTGACACCTATTGGCTCCGGAGAAACCAAGGTGGACGTTTGCTTTTCGAGGAACTTTGCTGGCCCTTGAGAATGAGCTGCCGGCTGGGCGGCCCCTCTCCTTGCGGTCTCCCTGGTCCTCCCACCGAGGGACACAGGCCCGGAGCTGAGTGTGCAGCTGACCTGGGCCCTCGGCCTGAGCCAGGCGGACAGGATCGTGGGTGGAGGAAGAAGGAAAGGACCGGAGTCAGGACAGAGTACCATGTGTCCTATAAATCACAGACGTTTGCCAAGTGGAAAAATACCCAGTCCTCAGAATGTTTCTTTTTGTGTTTCTTGGAAGCAGTTCCTCAAAGGGGTAAGATGAACTGTGCCGTTCCTGCCCGAGCAGGTGCAAACTGCTTCCCTCTGCCCTCCACACACAGGGCTGCCACTTCAGGATCTGGTCTTCGGGATGCTGGGTCCTGAGTGCCCAGAGGGAACTGTCCACCATCGTGTCACACTGGTGCCTCTTCAAGAGGATGTCCTCGCCCAGCCTGGAGGCTTCCAGAGGTCTAGCCTTCTCATTCTTGAGCGCTTCGGGGTGCCCCGTGGACAGCACGGCTCCTGTAAGTGGTAGCCCCAGCACAGATGACCCTCAGGCCCATGTGGGCCTCTCCCTGGGGCCTCTCCCCAGTGAGGGCTGGGGTTCTCCTGAGATCTCGTTAGGGACAGACCCGTGAGGGCCGCCCAGAGCTCCAGCCCTGGCACACACTTGGACTTGGATGTGGAAGAACAGCCCCCCAGCTCTGCAGGAAACGCAGGATCCTCGTAACTTCTCAGGGAACGCTGGATTCCTGCTGTGAGCTGCATGGCCAGGGCCGGGCTTGTGGGCGGGCTCAGTCAGCCGCTGTCAGAGGTGGTGTGTCCCAATGGTTAGGGGTGCACTCATTTCACAGGACCACGGGGAAGCAGCTTAGCCTCTCTAAGGCTGTCTGCTCATCTGAAAATGGGAGAAATCACAGTACCTACCTCCTGCTGTTCTGAGGATGGCAGGAGGGTGTTTGTGATGGGATGAGCCTGGTACCTGGCATTTTAGAAGGGCTTGGAGTACAGGTGATTATCGTTAAGCTGAAAGCCAGGAACCTGAGTTGCCGAGGATTTATAATCTCCGCACGATGTTCAGCAGCACCTTCCACTCTCAGGAGCCGCGGTGGCCGGGGGGTTGAGCAAGGCTGCAGTTGAATGGCCGGTCTGTGAGCAAAGCCTGACCCTCAGCTGGGCTCTAGTCCACAGGTTGGGGAAGGAAGCGAGGACGTCTGAGCCTCAGCTGGCCTGCCCTCAGGATGCATGTGGGGACAGCCACCTGTTAGAGGTGAGAAAATCGAGGCTCAGACATGTTAGACTCGTGGCTCACGCTCACACGGTGAATACGCACCAGGCCTGGGACTTGCACGGAGTGTTGGACTTCACGGGATTCCTGCCTTCCTCGTGCCACTGCTGCCAGCCCCTAGAGTCTAGGGCAGGGGTGGGCAAACTTTTTGACTCGAGGGCCACAATGGGTTCTTAAACTGGACCGGAGGGCCGGAACAAAAGCATGGATGGAGTGTTTGTGTGAACTAATATAAATTCAAAGTAAACATCATTACATAAAAGGGTACGGTCTTTTTTTTTTTTTTAGTTTTATTCATTTCAAACGGGCCGGATCCGGCCCGCGGGCTGTAGTTTGCCCACGGCTGGTCTAGGGCCTAGACTGACTTCTGAGTGTCAGAGAACCCACCCCTACCGGAGTCTCAGTGAGCGGAGAGCACCCTCACCCTGCTAGCCAGAGTGAGCACTCGAACCCCTCCTCACTGTTCACCCCAAAACCCAAACTTCACACCTGCAAAGCCAGGCCCGCTAAGAACAGGTCTGTGATGGTCCCACAGTGAGGCTGTGCCTGGCAGCGGCCTCCTGCCTGGGGGTTTCTGGGGCCTGGTGTCCTGAACCCCTAGTTCCTGCCCATTCCGCAAGCCTGTGCCTCCAGCTCTCTGCAGGGACTGAGCCCCCGTGTCCTTCTCATGAGTCCCCTTTGCTTAAGTCCCCAGCTGGTCCCTGTTCCCTGCCTGGTGGAGCCTGGTCCAAAGCCACGTGGGCTGCTCCTGCGTGCTGTGCTGGTGGCCCGGCTGGCCTGTGAGGACAGAGCCTCGCAGGTGCACTGTGGCATACCAGACCCTCAGGCGCTCCATCGGTGCCCCCTCCAGGCCCTCCCTGTGCCCCACACTGCTGTGGGCTCCTGAGGCAGAGAGAGGAAGGAGGGACCCACCTCCAGGTCACCTGTGCTGTCCCGAGCCCCTGGACTGTGGGACAGAGGCCCTGCCCTGGTCCTTTCTGACGGTGCCTCACAGGGTGCCACACAGGGTCCCACTAATGCCTGGACACAGCCGGGAATCCGGGCGGGGACGGGCCTAATGCTCCCCTGGGCACAGCCGAGGAGCTCGGTGTCCCTCCCGGTCAGGCTTCCTTGTCACCACGTCCTTGGGTCAAAGGCAGCTGGGTCGCTTCTCCCTTTGGGGTCACTCCTCCTCAATTTTGGTCTGACCAACCCCTCAATAGCTTGCAGTTCTTAAATGCCTTAAAAAATAATTTTTCTTTTGTTTTAAAAATCTCATTTGGCTTTTTAAACTGTCCTCCACGCGAGGGTGCACGGAAAGTCTGCAGGTAACTTCAGTCCTGGGATAGTTCTCCCCACCTCCCAGCCTCTCATCGCACAGACCTGGAGACGCTGGGACGGGTTCGCTCCCCTCTCTCCTCTAAGTGACCCAAGTCCCTAGGTGATCTCAACAAGTCCCAACTGCTACCTGCTGATCAGCCAGATTCCTATCTGCAGCCCAGACTCCTAAACTCCAGGTTCATGCGACCAACAGCTTATGCTTAACCCCCACTCAGATGTCTGATAGGAATTGCAAAATTAATATGCTGAAGGACAGATTCCCAATTGCGACCCTCCTAAATCTTAAACGGGACGTCCTCGCTTCCTTCCCCAACCTGTGGACTGGAGTTTCTATAATGTCTTTGCCTTGTTTGTTACAGCCAATTCCTATCACATCTGACAAACTTGTCATTCCTTGAATTTTAGTCAAATGCTTCTTCTCCAAATGCGGGAGTCAGGATGGTTTGGATTCTTTTGCTCTCTTTCCACCACACCCTCCTGCCCCACCCCAGCAGGTTCTTCTCCGAGCTCCAGTAGCTCCCGGTACACACCTTGACTAGGGAACATACTTTCTGGCTCGCCCACTGACCCTCGTCTAGCCCAGAGGACACACAAGTATCATAGTTGGCTCTGTATCTCCCGTGCCTCACATGAGTCTTGCCACATACATGTTCGATGAATGTTTCAAGAAAAAAAAAATCCAAAAGGACTCGAGCAGCGTCGTATAAACAAGAATAGCTGTGAGTGGTGCTGGAAGGAGACTTGACTTGGGGAGGTGTCACACAACACAATATACAGATGATATGTTACAGAATTGTACATATGAAACCTATAAAATATTATTAACCAAAGTCACCCCAATAAACCCAATAAAAATAAAAAAGTACTGTAATTATAATTTGATTTTTAAATTCCACTAAGTATACTATGCCATAGCATATCAGCTAAAATTATTTGTTTGTAGGGTTCAAATCAGACTTGTTCTAGGTATGGCTTCTGATATATTTTTCATCTTCTAATAACTTTTACCTATTAGTTCAAAGTCCTTTCTAAGGGGAGGTCATATTTGGAAAGAAATTGAAGTCTTTTTAAGGCAATATTTGTCTTCTGTCTGACAAACATTTCATCACTGACTTGGTTTCAATGGGGCCTGAGCCCGGGGTGGCAGAATTCTGTGCTGAGGTTACTGTGGGTCCTAGCAGGTCCTTAGTCACAGGCTTACCTGGCAGCCGAGCTGTGGCGTCCCTCTGTTAGTCAATGCCAGGGTGCAGCAAAATGTAGTCAGAGGTTTCACTGAGAGAGAGGGAGAGGGAAAGGGAGGGAGAGAGAACAAGATTGATTGATTAGCGCCCTCTGGTGGTACACATTTCTTACTGCTGAACTGTTTCAAAACACTACCCATGCTCATTATTTTGGGGAGTCATCTAAAGTTTTGATAAGTATTTTTGCACGATATTTTCAGGGAAGTCCCGTAACCTCTTCCCAAATGACATCCCCCCTTTTTTCTTCTTGTAACTTATGGGCTATTTGGTAGATACGGAACCCAGACTTCGGAAGGGAGAGCCACTGCGGGGATCTGGGCGGGTGCCCCTGGGCCATGGACACTGTGGTCTCAGGGCCTGAGAAGGACTGTGTGAGACTGTGTTACAGGTCTCAGTGAAGTGGACGTCCCTTCTCGGGTTCAAGGCTAGTCTTCCTACCTTGCTTTGGACCTCATTCCCACTGCTTCTTCAGGTATCTGTGCCTTGTCAAATAGCTCCTTTCTCCCTTATCGTCAAACTCTACTTCCTCTTAAAATTCAGTTCACATGTCAGTTACTTGAAGAACCTACTCTCAGTGAGGAGCCCATACTCTTAATATGAATGCTATTTGCATATTGTTGACAGTCTTTTGTAACTCAGTGAAATAATGAAAATTTCAGCTACTGGCAGACAGAGAAAGGCCCAGATTTTATCAAATCACAGTCACTCAGGGATCCTTATTCTTTTATCTGGTCCTGCTTTAGTTGCTTCTGAAAAGGTAAGTCCACAATTAATTACATTCACAGCGTCAAGTTCCTAGTTTAAAATTTTGATTAGGTTGAAATCCACTGTGCCAGGAAGAATTAGACCTGGAGGATATAAATGGGCTGGTATTTCAGGTTTTACCACTACTTTCCTTGATGCTTCCTGAGTACAGGGTTTTAAATATCATCTGCATTTACAGTATCGCTAGATTATAAACCACTATCTACAGTCTAGCTGATTCTATTCCTTAAGCAGTCAGGTCAGGTTTTAATGTGAATAAGATCCAGTGATTTGGGTATTGTTAAGCTTGATGATCTCAGAGGTTAGACTAGACTAGGTCTTAGAGGTAACAGGCACAGTAATACTATAGTTTTCTTTGAGCAAGATGAAATAAAAATTACCTTTAAGCCCAGTCTTCACCTTTCTATAACATCAAGGAACGTGACACGATCAGCCGAACCAAAGGAAACATTCTCTGGATGTGGGAGACGGAAGACTGTCAGTTATTGTAAGAGGCAAATTTGTTCTGTAACAGGAAGAAGATTGAACTGTGTTGTCATCACTGGGTACAAATGAAGGGTAAGCAAAGACTCTTCACTTAAAGAACATCTTTATTTGATCTTTAATATACAATATTATCTTTAATTTATAAAAATCACATACAGAGGACATGACTGGAAATCAGTTCAGGAGCGGCCAGTGGGTACCGATTCAAGAGGTTACACTTACCCCAGTTAAATAGTTTAAGAAAAATTCTATCAGTGAGTTTGAGACCAGCAGGATTGAGCAATGGCATTTCAACTTCCAAATCCAGTAATTAAAACTGGGGATACTTTAATTAATCCAACAAAAGCTAACTTCTAAATTTCCTAAAAATAATTTTCCCCGAGAGCTGAGCTTGTCTCCATGGAAGTTTCTGGTATGCAATCTGCAGTCCAATTCTGCAGTACGCCAATAGCTGCAAGACACTTGCAGTGGCTTAGAATCCTCCGTGCGTGGGTTTATGTGTTTGTCATCTCACTCACTTTCACACTGAGCTGCAGTGACCTGCATAGTGTGTTGGACCTAGAGAGGGAGAGCTCATTTACAATGTGTGCTCCCTGTCCCTCTGACTACAGGCTTCCCCTCCTCTAGAATTTACAAAAATCCTGAAATGTTTGATAAACTTCTTAGTGAGAAATCTATTAGCTCAGGATGATCAGTGCATTGCAATGTATCTACTGGGAATATGGTGCTGTCACCTCATGAGTTCTGCTGGGCTCAAGCAAAGTTTAAAATGTTCAACATGAAGTGTAATGTTGAGACTGAGAGGTACCTGAATTTAAATCTGATGCATAGCGACATTCTGAAATAATGCTAAGGACTAGTGAAGGGCTTCAGGAGAGTTACGCAGAGGAAGGGAGGAGGAGCTGACCTTTGGCTACAACTTCTCAGATGTGGGCAAGTCTAGAGGGAGCAGGGGCAGGACCCTTCTGCAGTCTAAAAGGGCAATAGTGGCTGCCAAATGGCACATAACCCATTTCCTGCTGCTGAAAAATTTTCGAGATTGGATTCTGCGGCACAAAGGTCAGCGATCCAATCGTACAGTTGGAGGACTAGAAGCACTCAAGCGGAGGGGTTTCTGCAGCCCCAGTAATCCGGAGTCTTGGGCCAAAGGTCAATGAGCAGGCAGAACTTAGCGAGGATTACTATTTGACACCACAGAAACACTTCATTTTACCTGGGGACTCCGTAAGTGTGGCATTAAATGACAAGGCAAGGCCAGTAGGTTGGCTGACAGCACACCCCAGGAACAAAAAATGTGCCTCCCTCATGATAGCTGCATCATGAAACCTGAACAGACTCCAGAGGAGCGTATCTATTTTCAAGACAACAAAATATATAGCTTTAGGTGACACAAATACATACAATCTTACACACACCCATCTTTTCGCTTTAAAAATGAATTACAGAACTCAAATACAAAGAAAAGATGCAATCAAATATTGCAGGGTCTTACACAAATTAAACTTTGAGATCAACATTAAACAACTGTGACCCGTGGGCAAAATCCTAGCCCTCCACATTTTTGTAAATAAAGTTTTATTGGAACACTGCTATGCCCCTTCACTTACATACTGCCTATATCTGCTTTCCTGTTTCAGCAGCAGAATTGAGTAGCAGAGACAGAGACTGGATGGCTCACAAATAAATATTTGTCTAGACCTTTACAGAAAAGCTTGCTGAGCCATAGCCAAAAGGAACATCCCCATCATGACCTAAATGAGCCAAAGTAACAGGAAATCACCACCACCAATGTTCTTGAACCAGAATAAGTGCATTAAAATATCTCCAGACCATACTGGGTTATTCCAATATTCTGCTTAGTTGTGCAGTCAAACCCAATTAACAATTGTGTTTATTAGTTAACAAATACACAGTATTAAAAATCTCTCTGTATAATTGTATTTTTGTAAAAATCTATGTAAAAAGTGGATAAGATATGAGCTAGCCAATTTGAGGGGAAAGAAACCTATGGAAAAATAAGAACTCAAAATACTATTACTGGGAACTATTATTTGGAACTTAGAATTAGGTTAGTATATTTTTCTTTATATTTAACAGCATGGAACCACTAGTAGGACACACAGCAGAGCAAAAACAATACACAACCGCAAGTTTTACCCATGAATTATGTGCCAAGATTTCTGAATAGAAAATAACCAGCATTTCTAGAAAACATTAATTTTTAATTATCTAATTAAAGTGATTTAGCAAAATAAGAATGTTTGCACTTATTTCCAAATATTTTAGTCAAAGTTGCATCAGAAATCAAATATTTCTTTGACATTTTCCAAGAGATGTTAGTCATTAACTACAATTATAGCTATTGGGATTATATAGTAACACATTGTTTAAAATATAAACAACTTCTTTTCCTCTTAATTTCAATGAAATATAAAATGCAGCATTTTGAAACGTGATTCATACTGGGAAACATCTGCAATGGTATGAACTCCTCATACAGAGAATGCCACTGGAACCACAAAGTGTTCTAATGCTGGAAAGCGCCTCGCATGCTGCTGGCACACCGTGGGCACTGCATGTTTGTTCATCATTCTCTCACTCACTCATGCATTCACTCAGAGAAATACAGGCTTAAGGAGACACTGCCTCATGAGAATGGCAAGCACAGTCATTTACTGGCATACTTGTAGTTTTGACAAAGACTTTGGCAACGGAGAGTAACGACGAGATGATCAAAATTTCAAACTGCTAGGTTAAAATCTACCCAACAAAGGCCTGGGTTGCCCTAGCTGACACCACAGAAAATCAGGGGCAACATTCCACAAAAGGAATACATTCCCTCGGTACCCAGTTATAAATCAACATCTGCTCAGAGACAGGAATGAGCCGGTGTCAGAGACATCAAACAGCATATGCCCACCGGGAAGGAAGGAGCCTCTACCTGGGGACTGACTTTTCTGAACTGAGTCTTCTTTTTGGTTAGGGCAGTGGTCGGCAAACTGTGGCTCGCGAGCCACATGCGGCTCTTTGGCCCCTTGAGTGTGGCTCTTCCACAAAATACCGACTTCTGCGCATGGACCACGAAGTTTCAATCGCACTGTACGTGTGCGCCCACATGTGGTATTTTGTGGAAGAGCCACACTCAAGGGGCCAAAGAGCCGCATGTGGCTCGCGAGTCGCAGTTTGCCGACCACTGGTTAGGGCCACATTCTCTTGGCCTTAACAACTTTACCTTGGTTTGAACAAAAGGTGTGATTCTAAAACTGTAAAAGAAATAAATGTAGAACGTAGAGGGGTATTCCAACATCTGTTTTTTTCCTTGGTGCCTACTCTTTGAGGAGACACCTGGAAAAGAGATTTCTAGGCTCTTTGCAGAAGGTTCTATACATGTAATGAGTTATTTAACCTCAGAAATAGGCCTGCAAAATGCAAAGGACTATCAAGGACAGAAGGAAGTAAAGAATACTCTTGGAAACTAAGCAGAATATGGCATAAGGATTGATCTCAGAGGGAATGATTTTAAAAATCCATAAAAAAATCAAACATGACACTGGCAAGTCATTTGCAGCCGACTTTAATTGAATCGCCTTTGGTATCCAGGAGGAAAAAGCTGGATGCATTGCTATAAGCTCACAAGGAAGGCAGGGGAGTGGTGAAGACCCTCCCACTGTCCCTCTCAGATTCTTTGCTTGTACACTTCTTTGCCTTCTTTTATGCTCAGTCAACAGAGCCCTTCGGGAGTGAGGGTTCTATCTTATTCCTTGAGGACTTCCTGGGGAACCCTGAATTCTTCTGAACTAAGCAAGGAAGGGTTCCTTGCCATCTACACAGCTGTTCTGGGTCGTTGTCAACAAGTTTTTAATTTTTTAGAACCAAATACTTTCTTTCCCTTTCTCTTCTGAAGTGACAGGCATCTACCCTTCTCATTTAAAATCTTAATTTTCAAGTAGTAAAAGATATTACAATTTCAAAATATGAGCTAAAACCAAACTCTCTTAAAGACTTAAATAATATACCTGGCTCCACATCCTTATTTTCTATGTATACTGAAAAACTTGGAGTGGTTATCATTATTGATCATTTGCTGAAATGTGAAGACTGACTGATTACTTGTGGGATAAGATGATCACCCTCAGAAAATATTTAATTATATGAATTTGTAAATCTTTTCCCAATTTAAATCTACATGCCCATGAAAGGTTAAAAAGTATCAAAATAAGGGAATAAGCCTTCAGAATTTCAAGGTGGGCTTCTTGCACATTGTTTCATGAAATCTTCAAATTCAGACTAGATATTAGACTAATTATACTACTCTCAACTTTTATTATCAATGGGAGCTATTTGAATTAAATATAAAGAAGAGAAAGTGTCTTGCACTATGACATAAAGTCAAGGGACAGAAAATTTATAAGCATTAGACATTTATCTTACAATATAGTTCTTGATAAAATTTAAGTTCTTCCCCCAAATATAAAGAAATAATTTATTTAAAAAGAATTATCTTTGCAAAATCTATTGATATGAGAAAGTCCGTTAGCTCTATCCCAAATTCAATGTAATATGATTAATTACATTTTACTTTTATCACTAAAAATTACTTTGCAGCTATTTTGGTTCACTCTTTGGGTTCCTTTAAACATCCATCTCGGACTCCTGAAGACGCTCCACGCGCTGGCTTATTCTTAGGAAGTCAAGCCTCCAGTTAAATTTATTTTTACATAAGAATATTTTTGAAAAGCTCAGTCATTTGATGAGATAATAAAGGATCCTGTGTCCCCATTTCAGATAGACTACTTAAGGACATTTTACTGTATGTATTTTGTTTTTGATTTAATAAGCTGTGAAAGTAATTTAGCTCATCAAGGAAATTCAGAGCTGCATAACAGTATAATGCATTTTGCCCAGCCACATAAATAAAGTTGCAAGTTGAGGGATTCTACTAAGTTTACAATGAGGTTAAAATGTACTTGGTAGATTTGCTGGTTTGGAAAAATAGCCTCCTACCAAAAATAACCAACGCTTTCTCTTAGAACAGGTTTCAAGGCAACAAACTGGCACTTCCTCCACTTTTTGTCATGCTACCAACACTAGACTGAACGACATGCACCAAATCCCCAACCCAGGCTCACAAGCAGTGGTCATGACAAACAGCTCCAATGATTCCATATGGAGACAAAGACCTGAAGAATATTCTTTGTAAGATCACACCCCCAGAGAAAATTAAATTTAACCAAGAAATTTCAATGGAATGGATTGGGACTTGAAATGGTTGCCAGTCTGGTCATCCAACGGGGAACTTGAAAATTCAGACAGGAGTAAGTATTTCTGTTTCTTTTCTGAGTCTTCTTGCTGCTGATCCAGTTACAGTTTTTTGGTTCTTGTTTATTTTAGTTCATTCCATTATTAAAAATGGAGAAATGGGGCTAAACAATGCGTAAATATTTGATTTGAAAGCTGCTCCACTTGGGGAGGAGGCAAATGGAAACTGGTGCCAAGGCCATCTTGGACTCCTGAAGACGCTCCACGCGCTGGCTTATTCTTAGGAAGTCAAGCCTCCAGGTTCCTGGACTCTAAAAACAGTATCGGAGAGTAACTGGCCTAATTTCTCATGTGACCATCTCATTAAGAATCAGAGCATACCAGGTCTCCATCCTACACACACCGGAGTATGTTTTGGTCAGGTATAAAACGGAATTATTTCAAAGTTGAGATATCTACAAGTTGAAAGTCTGTGGGGAGCGAGTCATGTTTCACCCTGCCATGTTGACGTAGAGGTTCGGGTTTTCAGAAGTCCCCTCTCCAGACTCCTCTGTAGGGTCCATGTAAACAAAACACAGGTGAGAATGGTCTTTCTGGAGCTGCTTTCATCGAACAGCAGGATTTCCTGAAAGTGTGGTGTTGGCTAAATGCAACACGGGTAGAGGGTGCGCCTCTGTGTTGAACACCCAGTGGTCTAAAGGTAAAAGGTCATCCCCGGAGAACAGCAGATACAAATACCTGAAAAGAAAAGGAGCTCCCATTAGAATTCAATGAGAAGATCCCCTGGTCCAGGTAGAATGAGAGGACACCAGGAACTACTCTGAGTAGCTTTAGTTGCTCAAACACATCAGAGGACAAACCCCAGCCACTCAAATGATCTAAAGCAAAAACCCTGTGTTCCAGAACAGCACATAGGAAAACCCATGAGCTGCACGAGAGCTCTGAAATAAGAGGTTAAGGAACAGGTTCACATACCTGTTTGAAGCACATAAAACAATGCTGTAAAATGGCATAAGACAAACCACTTCATAATTTTCAGACATTCTGTTAAACATAACGTACATCAGTCATATGTTTTGGCAGCTTACATAGCATAACTAGAAGTCCATTAACTGACATTGGTAAATAAATACTGAAGTAAATAAGTACATTATTAGGACATAGCAAGAACTTTTATACACTAATATATTAATAGTTTTTTCAGGTGCTGCCAACTATTTAATAGAAGTTTTGGAAACATGGATGTATAGGAGGAGGCTTAAAAATTATTAACCTCTTTTCATGGGTAATGGCATTGTTTCTAGGAAGGCAAGGATTCCTGACCTCTCCACAAGAAATGCAAGCCACAGTGACCACTTAGAAATAAAAAATGATAGATTTAACACACACAATGATTCTTACCTATTATGCTGGGCAAATTCCAATCTGAATTCTACTAGGGGTTCATGAAAGTGAGCACAAAAATCTAACTATATAGAGTCAGGAAATCTGGGTTCTAACTCCTGACCTTAGTAGCAACTAGCTGGCCTTACAAGGCTGCAGTAAAGAATTCCTTTACAGTATTTTAGCTAAAATTTATTTTAAAAATCGGGACTTTAATATTTTTTCTGATTACTGTTATGGTTCTGGATGACAGAGACTGCGTATCAACTTATAACTGGTAAAGCTGGAACAGGGAGTCACAGGCTTCAATCCCATTCCGTGACCCGAGACCTGAGACCTGCTTGACTGATTTGTTCACCGGCTGCAGGCAGAGACATCAGAACTGAAAGCCACAGAAGAGCCTCTGCTGGGTCTGCTCACTGTGTGGAGAACAGAAGCACACGCTCTTGGGGTTCGTGTACACACATGTCTGGGATGCTATGGCCACTACGGCCAGGGCAAGATGCTATTATTTTTAAAAAAGGACCTTAATATTACCATAGTGGGTTGAATAGTGCACCCCCCCACCCCAATTCATTTCCAACTAGAGCCCAAAAATGTGATCTTATTTGGAAATAGGGCCTCAAGGATCTGGAAATGAAATCACTCTGGACTTAGGAGGGCCCTAATTCCAGGGACTTACACCTTTACAAGGGAAAGGAGGGCGAGATTTGGAGCCAGAGACACACAGGGAAGACAGAGGCAAAGACTGCAGCACTGCTGCCTGGACCAGGGTTTGGAGCAAGACTGACCCCTTCAGGCAGAGTCAAACAATGCATGGAGAGCAGGAGCTGACACAAGACTTAAATAACATAGCAGTGCACACTTAAAAATTTGTACCAAAGTCAATGTTTAAAGTAATACAGCTAAACAACTCTTTTTAACTTCGGATTGTAAATTCAGAAGAGGATGATCAAGGACATGCTATACTATTACTGATTTAAATTTAAGATTTTTAACCCAGAGTTTAAAAATAGAACAATTGGAGAAGCATGATCTTTGCTGTGAAAATTGAGAAAAGTCTACAATCTAATTCAGCTACCAGACTACTAGATACTCTTTTCTTCTAATAAAGATTTTTTTGAAACTGTACTTCAAGGTTAGAGATAACACATTACGAATGACACTGACTGGAGCCTGTAGGTATATAAAAAGGTGCTATTAAATACTTCAGTTTCACTGGGTGTCTTGGTTACCTTTAGAGCTATTTTTAAATGCTGTTCACTTACATCTTTTAGCTTTCTCTTACGTAAAGATGAGACACTCGCCCTAGCTGGTTTAGCTCAGGGATAGAGCATCGGCCTGCGGACTAAGGGGTCCCAGGTTCGATTCCAGTCAAGGCACATGCCTGGGTTGTGGGCTCAATCCCCGTACGAGGCATGCAGGAGGCAGCCGATCAATGATTCTCTCATTATCATTGATGTTTCAATCTCTCTCTTCCTCTCCCTTCCTCTCGAATCAATAAAAATATATATTAAAAAAAGAAAAAAAAGATGAGACATTCAAGGGAGGTGTTGCCAGAAGTCATCAACACAGTGTTAGTGGTAACTGAACAAGAAACGTTTTCAGAAAGAGGTCAACCAAGTCTGAGGAGAAGCATTTAAGTGTCTATAGAGAAAAGGTAAGGCTGAAAGAACCCACCACCAAGTTAATGTACTCTTACTTAGTCCTCTGTTTATTTATCAAACAAGCCTGAGGACTCGTTTATTCTTTTCACAACTACAATGGCAATGTCGGGCATATTATGCATAGATGTTACAACTCTAAAAAGGCTTGCATTAAGGACTACAAAGAACTCATAAGAAAAATACTGTTTGAAAAATAACTTACTTAAAACTTCATTTATACTTCTACTATTTAAATAATGTCTTTGGAACTGACTGGCTAGAAATCAAATTAAATTGAAGATAATCAGTGGAAATTACATTCTAAAAGATGATACATTAAAACATATAGTTATTAATCTCTTCAAAAGATCAGCCCCTCTCTGCCTTTCCCCACATCTTCTGTCACATCTTAAAGTTGTTTTCTGGGGGGAAGGGGTGAGGAAGAAAAAAATGGAAAGAAAGATGGGCATATTATGGATTCCAGTGCAAAATACGCATGCAGTGTTTAAAGATTAACTGAAGAAGGCAGACATTTCTGGTATGCTGGGATGGATTATCTTGTCCTGAGATGTCAGGGAGCTAAAGGGAATTCATGCCCCTCTGCCTTTAGGGGTCAAATAAATTAGGATGATTTTGTCTTTAAAAGACAGGATTCTAAACCACACAAACAATTGGGTTTATCTGCCAAACAAACAGTCCAGAGGCAGGTGGTAACAAAGGCTGGTTAAGTCAGCAGTAGAACATAATCAGAGATCCCAGTTTTGTAAAGGTTAATGACATCCAAAGTTTCCTGGTGCCAAAAGACCTTATCTGAGAAAACTTGTAATTCTCCCTTTGATATGTATGTAAATCTTTTTACAAGCAAAATAAACCTCTTGCCAGTTTTACAATCCAGAAACATTTTCCTCAAAGGCCAGGGTGCTGTCTTTGAAATGTAAACATTAAGGGAAATAGCACCCCAATCTCTTAGTCACTATGGGAGGGTAGTGTAGGTGCCTTTCTCAAAGCTGTAATTAAGATGCAAGTATTATTTTTCCTTTGGATAAAGGCAATTAACTAACACGGATGACCACCCAGTTACCATGTGAATTTAGAATGAACTGTGTACAGCGAATGGTGCTGTGGAGAAAGCATTATCACCTATCTTCAGCACAGGTGCCTAATGGATTGTACCTAACCTGGCTATGTGGAAAGGCCAGATTTCTTCCTGTCTTTGCATTGGGCCTGTGACGCAAACGGCAGTCTGGCTTCATGCTTATTCACAGTAAAAACGTTTTCTTTCTCTGCTACATTTGTGGAAAGGACTTTCTGAGTTGGCAGATTATGTTCTTTAATTTTTCCCCCAGTAATCAGGATCTTAGTAATATTCTTGACTTTTTCCTCAGAATTGTAAGATGCTCCATGCTTTACATCTCCACACAAAAAGTCCAAAGTCAGAAAGTAAAGGCAGACGTCTCTTCAGGTGTGGGTCTACTTTGACATTCTAATAGGAGTGTAGTGGTGTCTCGCTGTAGTTCTAATTGCACTAATGACATTGAGCACTTTTTTTTCATGAGCTCATTTTTCATCTTTATAATCTTCTTTAGTGAAGTAGACACTTCAACTCTTTTTCTCCGTTTTAAATTGGGTTGCATGTTATCTTATTATCGAAATATAGTCTAGACACTTTTCATTGTTTCATTTAATTTTCTTTCATTCTTTTTCAAACATCTTTCAAAGAGCAGATGTTTTTCATTTTTAGATCAATTGATCAATTCCTTTTTTTATGGTTTATGCTTTTGATGCAGTATCTTAAAAAAACTTTTGCCCACCATAAGGTCACAAAAAATTTCTCCTATGTTTTCTACTAAAAGTTGTATTTTTTTAGGTTTTCAATTTTGATCTATGATCCATTTTGAGCTGACTTTTTGTATATACATATAGAAATGAAATTACTTCAGCACCTTTTCCTGAAAAGCCTATCTTTTCTCACTTCACTGTCTTTGTACCTTTGTTAAAAATCAGTTGTCCATAAATGTATTGCATTCTTCCCACCCAGGATTCTCTATTCTGTTCCACTGAGATATATATATATATATAATTTTTTTTGAAGCACTCTGATATTTGTATAATGATATCTATATCTATATCAGAGTGCTTCAATCACTATAGCTTTATAATAAGTCTTAAAATCAGGTAGTGTTAGGCTTTCAACTTCGTTCTTTTTTAACATGTTTTGGTAATTCCAGGTTCTTTGCATTTCCACATGAAATTTAGAAAGTTATTAATTTTTACAAAAAAGTCTCCCATGATTTTTTTGAGTTATCTTTTTTTCTAGTGAATCATTGGGGTGATGCTGGTTAATAAAATTATATAAGTTTCAGGTGTACAATTCTATAAACATTATCTGTATATTGTATTGTGTGTTCACCACCCAAGTCAAGTCTCCATCCATCACCATTTATCCCCCTATACTCTCTTCTACCTCCCCCACCCCCTTTCCCTCTGGTAATATCACTAGTGTTGTCTGTGTCTATGAGGGTTTTCTTTGCTTAACCCCTTCACCTTTTATCACCCAGCCCCACAATCCCCAGCCCTTCTGACAGCTGTCGGTCTGTTCTCTATCCATTAGTCTGTTTCTATTTTGTTAGTCCATTTTGCTCATTAGGTTTCCCATATGAGTGAAATCATATGGTACTTGTTCTTCTCTGACTTATTTCACTTAGCATAATCCTCTCCAGGTCCATCATGCTTCCTGTGATTTTGAGTGGAAATGCAATGAATCTATAAATCAACTTGGGCAGAATTAAGAAAGAACTTAAATACATATATATAATACTTGTGTCAAAAATCTTTAAACTAAACCCGATCATAAGGAGACACGGATATATATCTGAGGGACATTCTTCAACGCCACTAGTCTAAATACTTTCATCAATGTCACAAAAGATGAAAAGCAAGGAAACTTTGTTCTAGGTTAAAGAAGACTAAGGAGACATGGCAACAAATGATCCTCTGGGGGTTAAAAAATTAGTTTTAAAGTACATTATTAGAACAATTGAGAAATTTGAAAATGGACTACATATTAAACAACAGTATTATATGAATGTTAAATTTTCCCCAGTGTGATAACTGTACTGTGATTACATAGGGTTATGCCCTTTCCTTAAAACACTTGTGTAAGCATCAGAAATCTGGTAACTCAAATTATACAGCAAACATTTTTTAAAAAATAAATAAATAGTAAAACTGTGTGTGTGTGTGTGTGTGTGTATACATACATATATACAGGGGTGGGGAAATGTTAACAATAGGTAAATCTAGGTGATACACAAATACTCATTGTATTTTATTCTTACAATTTTTCTGGTCTTAAAAAAATAAAAGAAGAACTCTTAAATAATTTGGGTCAAATTCAACAGTTTACAGATGTGATAACTGAAAGCAAAGAAATTTTATTTTGACATGTTCATTCAGCTAGGTCGTAGCAAGTATATAACTAAAGCTCCTGCGGTTTTATCTGCCAGTCCAGAGTTCTTTCAACTACCTCAGAGTCTCAGGCCCAATCACACAGGATAAATCAAAACAGAAATGACTGTTAGAAGGAGGGAACTGACTACAAGCAGATGTTCTAAACCACCTCAGCAGTAATAAGAGTGTGGCTTAGCGTCAACTGCAGATATGGAAAGGAGAGGCAAAATAAAAAAACAACGTAACAGGAATCATAAAGACTTAGTGATATATTAGAAGGAAAAAAGAAATAACTCTATAATGCACAAACTGAAAAGATGGGAAAAATCAGAGCAGTAGAAATAATAAAAGTAATTGAAATAAGATGGCCATTAGGATGAGACACCTTGTTTGACACATAGAAATTTTAATAATATACCAAAATTTAAGCTAGAAATATACTAGCATGTAAACTTCAGGAGGGTAGAAATTTTTGTCCTTTTTGTCTACTGATTTATCCTCAAGTAACCTGAACAATATCTGAAAAATAAACATTTTTTTTAAACAAAGTGACACTTTATGGGGCATTCAGGTACAGATAGACAGGAAATAGAAATATGAAGCAAAGAGAAAGTATCAAGAGCTATTTACTCTGTAGTCTTTAGGGAAGTGGACATATTTAAGGTCTCCACCTTCTTCCTGCCTGAGGTTTTGAGTATAAGCCCAAATAATAAAGTTGACTTTTTTTCCTTTTTCATCGTTCTCTTTATGTATATGTTTATGGGAATCTCCAATGAAAGGATGGGTGACTACGGTCATGTACTCTCCAAAAGACTGTGAATACTAACAGATTTTACTAGTAGTGCAGGTGTGGTTTCCAGAACAGCATCATCCACATCGCCTAGGAGCTTGTCAGAAATGCAAATTCTTAGGTTCCACCCTAGGCCTACTGAGTCAGAAACTGCGAGGATGACCCAGTTACCTGTGTTTTAAGAAGTCTTCCAGGTGATTCTAATGCACACTAAAGAACTAGGAGAAAATAAAGGTACTAAACTCTCATTTGACTAAATATCTATCTCAAATATCTACCTCTGCCATTCTTCTAGAGATTCAGCTAAATATTAAAGATGTAAAACTTTTTAAAAGGCCTCCACTTACTTTAATGTTTCAGCGAGAAAGAAGCTCTGCTGCACATCGTCATGGGCAGGAGTCGAGGAATAAACATCCTTCACCCCAGAGAACCCACCGCTGACTCGGCAATACTTCTCAATAGCCTATGAAAGAGATCAGACAAAAGAATCAAGGACACAAATTTCAAGTTTGGAAGGTCAAGTTAAGGGACCCCGTCAAAAGTTCACAGAGCTCTATATGAGAATTTGACAGTTTAAGAATACAATTTATTATCAAATGAAAATAGTTTCTTCTGGAAAAACTGACTGAGGTATCCTGTTTCCTGTGGAATTTCTCCCTATTCAAAACTCTTTAACCCTTTTAAGACATCTTATACATTCCTAACTTAGGAGTCAAATTTAAGTCATTCACACTAGATTCGAGACCTGTATGACACAACAAAGTCTCACTAATTCTGACAAATCGAGAGGGAGGCCAATTTGAATTAAAATTTTTAAATGCAATTTTATATCTTCCAAGGATAAACAATAATCCAAAAATGCTAAAAAAAAAAAAAAGCATTACTTAGAAGCTCTACATAATAATAGCAATGAGATAATATTTACTGTTTGTGTGTCTGTCTATATGGGCTATTAAAAGCAAAATTCTAACTCCTGTTAATTCAAATTTGGACAGATATGGGTTAAAGTTTGAGTTTGTCAAACCTCTTTTTAATGGATAAGAGTAGGGCCATATGTTAAGAAGCTGTGCAGGGAAAAAGGACCTTAGAAACAGGACAAATTATCCTAGTGTTTCTCAATGAGAGGATACTTCTACCCAAACCCTTCACTCCTAATTCAGATCTATTTTCCTTATTCCTCTAAATAAGAACCCTTAAATATTAGGGAACATTCAAGTCAGACACATTGCAGGATTACTTTACCTGTCTATTGCCCCTATGGAAAATACTGTTTGATTCACATAAGCTTTAGTAAGCCACTGCTACTGACACAAGTATGTGTCCCGTTCCTGAGCCACTGTAGCAACAGTCCGGCTATCTTCTCAACTGCAGCACAGTTTCACTAGCAGCTACGTTCCCAACTCTGGACCCAGGTGGAAAGGCAGCATCAACAAATGCTGCCTCTGCTCCTGTTCTATATACCCACCTTCCATTACTATTCTCTGTTAAACTTCACAAGGACTATCCAGGTCTGGATGACCAATGACATGTGAGTGTCCTCACCTTAGTTCAAGTCTTTATTGCATTATTCCCATCTACTGCAGTGGTCTCCCAACCCCACCAGTCTGCAGATTATAATCAGATCCTTGTGTTTTGTTACTTCCAACTAAAAAGCCTTCAGTAGTTCCTCCCCCTTTGAAAAATCTTTAGTAGTCCTATAATGGATTCTTAAAGTTAGGGAATTTTGGTGGGTAGGAGATGGTGAAGAAAAAGAACATATGATCGTCTTTTTAGATAGGCAAAGGACTTTCTATCCCCATGTGAGAAACACCTATCTCGTAACTGAGAGATGTGTGTGTGTGTCTGTGTGTGTGTGTGTGTGTGTGTGTGTGTACGTGCGCGCATTTCCTTCCAGAGTCACTGAGTAAAGTACATATCCCTTTATTGGCACATAAGGCCATCCATACAATGGCTTTAAACTCCTCTCTCATTGCCACTGTGAAACCTTTTTACATAAATTGGTCTATGTTCTGCTCTAGAATATATCTTGCATATTCTTGTCTGAGCAATTTACTGACATTACTTATCTCACCTAGAATTCTCTCATTCTATCTACACTACAGATTTAAGTCAAACAATTTAAATATAAACATTCATCATAGATAGTACTATTTATCATAATTAGTATATCTTAGAGAATAAAACACTCCTCATTCCCAGGAATAAGCAATACTTCCACAAAAAGACTAGTGATTTTCTTCCTCCCTAGGTACTGAGAGCCAGGAGGTTCTCTCAAAGGTGAGTGCTGTAAGAGTAAACCACTTGCTTTCTTTACTTAATAACCATTAAAAACTCCCCATTTCAAATATATGTATTTGTCCATCAATCTAAACAATTTGTAACAATTCATTGCTCCTTCTTATGGTGATCCACGAAGGAATTATTTAGAATACAAGCTAAAATGAAGAGGGGGTAATCCACCCAGGCTGTGAATCTGGGCAGCTTTACAATATTTTCCCTTTTTTTGGAGTTTGACCTCTAATAGGGAAGCACAGAAATTTTATAATCATAGTGAAAAATTGCCTTATAAATGATTCTGTAGTTACTCAATAAGAACAATGAGTGAACACCAATAGGAAAATACCTCTAATAGAAAACTAAACTGGATTCTAAGGTTTACTTCTGCTGTTTAAGAAACATAAATTGACTAATAGAGTTTTTCATCAGATAAACAGAGTTAGTCCCACAGTTACTGAACATGAGGTAACATGGAGGAGGATCACGACACTAGAGAAGGACTTGGTAACACTCTTGCACATGAAATGAAAAACTAGTTTACCTACCAGAGCTGCTTCCCAGCCCCACTGCCTGTATCTTGGATCGTGAGTGAATCGCCACAGGTACCAGTAGGTTTCGATGACTTCTGGACGGAGGATGTAATACTTCTCAGCCTGCCGAACTGCCACCGCCTCTACTGCACCATCAAACTTGAAGGATTCAGGGCCTAGCTTTAATGCTGTAGCATGACCAAAGAAATAATGAGCACAATAAGCCATATGTGTTTGCATGCCAGAGCTTTTTCTCCCCTGAAGGAATGGGGGATGAAGTAAAGTTATTTTTTGTTATTTGTTTTATTTTTACTGCTGCTGTTTTTGCAAAATCAGTGACTTTAAAGATCCACATTTGGCTTTCTTATAATAGACTTATAAATATTCCTATTATTCTGACATGAAGTAGGCTCTCTCATAAATAATGTACACTAACATACTGCTAAATCTATCTATACCAATAAGAGTCCAGTCATCCTCTGGAAACAAATGCAAAGGTAGGCAGAAGCACATTACATATTCTGCTTTGGCCCAAAATAAAATGAGGCGGAAAACTGTACTGTGCAGAATTATTTTTTAAATAGTCAAGACAATTTTAAAGTCCTTTTAATATAACACACACATAAGAAAACATTTTAGATCTTTTATTTTTCAGTGACATTTTAAAGCTCAGACCTTGAATTAGATTTAGTTGTAGAGTACATAATTTTTAAAGCATACTATATATGCTAAAATTTATAAAATACAGTATATAAAAATAATATATTTTAAAACTTAAATCAGTTTTTAAAATAAACTTTCTTCTCCTATAGCAGTGATGACGAACCTATGACACGCATGGCAGAGGTGACACGCGAACTCATTTTTTTGGTTGATTTTTCTTTGTTAAATGGCATTTAAATATATAAAATAAATATCAAAAATATAAATCTTTGTTTTACTACGGTTGCAAATATCAAAAAATTTCTATATGTGACACAGCACCAGAGTTAAGTTAGGGTTTTTCAAAATGCTGACATGCCGAGCTCAAAAGGTTCGCCATCACTGTCCTATAGTATCAAAACACGCAGCAAGGAAGAGGTTGAAATTGCCAATCATCAAGAATTTCCCCAGTAATTTGCCCATTTAGTCCTAAAGTGAGGAATAACCAACAAATTATCAATTATTTTGTAAGAAAACTTCTGTCCAGTTTGAATAAAACATGTCCATTTACACATATATTTCAGCATTACATACTATTCCTTGGATGATATGACTTCCATTCAGGTTGGAATATAGCACTACTTGAAAAGCTTCTTAAGAACTTCTTTCTAATCTGAACAATAAAGATTTAATTTTAAAAAAATAAATAAAATAAAAAGATTCCCAGGTGAAAAAAAAAAAAGAACTTCTTTCTAATAACACTAGCACCCTAAACCTGGACAATATAAAGTCATCTTTCACTGGGATGGTGAAGTCGCACACAATTACCACTCTTAGCGGCCACCTTTCTTTTCACAAGGCTACACTGGTGGCAAATAGTTTCAAGGTTTCTCACCTCTTTCATGATAATGCTGCACATTTTTTTATTTCCTTAGAAAAGGCAGCACAAAAACTATAATGCTGGTGGACCATAAACAAAACCATGGCATCGATGTTGGCATGATGTGTCGCTGTCGCCCAATTTCAGGATTACAAGGGTGACACCATAAGCTCCAAATAATGACAATTCAAAGGAGGCGAAAATAAAGCCTTTCTTACTATGCCCATCCCCCTAAAAAATACAAAACTAAAAACACTGTTGTGATGGTGGATAGTTCTATTAAAAGCAAAACACGTGATCCAGAAGAGTTAACCACAGTTTCTATATGGCTCAGTCTTGGAGAGTTAATGCAGAACTCAAGCAGGGGTTTTAACCTCAAGTTCACGAACTCTACGGGAGGCTTTGGAAGAGGGAGACAGATTTGTGTCCACAAGCCTCTGAAATTGTCGGCAAAACTTTATGGGTGTACAAAAAGCACAGACCAGCTCCTCAATGGGATCTGAAGTTAGGAGTAACCAACAAATTATCAGTATTTTGTAAGAAACCTCTATCTAGCTATTGAAAAGTCTGACATACAATCAACTCTTGTCATTTAATAAATGCTTTTCAAATGATGATAAAAGTCAAACATTGTAAGTACTGATATGATGGTAAATCCAATAAAAAAGTAAGGTAAGTTATTTTGTCTGGATTTCTTATGTTTTTCCTTTCTCAAAGACTATCAGTGCTAAGAAGTAATCAACTGGAGTTTTCAAATGTCAATCTTAAGGCTAACTTTAAATAACTTCTGTAATTACAATGATAATATTGTCTGAACTGAAGGAGAAATTGGCTGCATGGAACTAGTATTTTAAACTCACTAAAAATTGTATTTCATTTACTGGTCATTCATAATTTCTCACATAAAACATACCAGAAAGATAACATAATTGTCCTGTGAGGAGTTGGTGAGTAAAAGTGTATAAGCTATTACATCCATATTTTGGCCAAATCATCAATTTCATGTTTCTGAAGGCACTATTTCATAGGTGTTCTTTTATTTAAGAAACTAGAGGCCTGGTGCACAAGATTCATGCACTGGGGAAGGGGAGAGGTGAGGGGGGTCCCTCAGCCTGGCCTGTGCCCTCTTGCAGTCCGGGACCCCTCAGGGGATGTCCGCCTGCCAGCTTAGGCCCGATCCCCAGGGCTCTAACAGTCTGGGACACCTTGCTCCTTACCGTCTGCCTGCAGAGGAGGCCAGAGAGGCTCCCGCTACACTCGCCAGCCGTGAGCCCAGCTTCTGGCTGAGCAGTGCTCCCTCTTATGGGAGTGCACTGACCTCCAGGGGGCAGCTCCTGTGTTCAGTGTCTGCACCCTGGTGGTCAGTGCGCATCATAGCAACCAGTAGTTCCACCATTTGGTCGATTTGCATATTATGCTTTTATTATATAGGATGTTGTAAAAAACAGTTTCATTTACTCTCTATTCCCTATCTTAAACTTCCCACTTACATTTGATATTTCATTTCTAAAAAGAAAATAACTAATCCAACACTTAAAAATTGAATCAAAACCATAAACAATTTAGTGCCTGGACAAGAAGAACTCCAGAGGATGCAAAAATCATATAATGTAGGTAAAGAGACATGAACAAATAAAAAAAAATTAAGTAAAATATCAAATGTGATAAAAGTGAGTAGTAAGACAATAAAAGATAAGTTTAAAGAAGACACATATTAGTTGGTGAAGTTATGGGGAAATGCAACTCATATGAATACTCCAAGATAGGTAGGACTCATACAAATAGAAAAATAAGCACATTCAAGTCAACAAAAGAAATTCAACCAAAGATAAAAGCACAAAGAATATTCTAGGACAGGCAATTTGACTATAGTTTGAATGGGCTAATAATAAGGGAAGAACTTAAACTATTTTCCTGTATCCTTTCCTCTAAGGAAAAAATAGTTGTGGAAACTCTTCAAATACATTCAGTACTCTATGTTCAATGGGTCTTTTGTCCATTGGATGTTACATGCACCTAAACAGATTAAATTCTCCCAACCCCAATTGTGATAGACTTTATCCAGTTTCAGCATGAAATAATTAAATTATATAATAGTCACTTTTAATGATGCTCAGAATTTTTTTTTTAAATCTAAAATCTCAGAAAAAGAATGTACTATATTTTGGAAGTCTTGATACCAGTTTTGCATTATACCTCAGAATAAACTAAAACAACGTACCAATCTAGCTTCCCATGCAGCTATAATAGTTTGAAACCACCACTAAGTTACTGCTGTTTCATAAATAGAATCAGCAATGCTTCCTACAAACCCAGCTAAAAGGTAAACAGCAGGCCGTGAAGATTACCAAATTTTGAACTAATGTTAACTCTAATTCCAACAACAAATGAAAGTGAAATTCCAAGGCAGTAATTGTCATATGAATTTAGCTAGAATAACTGCTAAGAAGTGAATGGATATTCTTAAACACAGTGGCCAAAAAATTATAGCATAGCTACAAGAAAACACAGCAAAAGATGTAATGACCTGGTAGGAAATGAGCAGAACTAGGATCGTACTTTTTAATTAATGTATCTAAATTGAGACTAAAGATTAAGTAAAAAACAGTGGAAGTCTTGAAAATATAGGACACAAATCAAACAGTAATCTTTTGCGGGATACCATGGCAAAGAGGGTCACAGGTTCATTGACTGAATTTTTTTAAATTAATTTATATTCACAACACAACATTATGAAGAAGATAGGGTAGGTACTAATATCCCAACTTTTTGCAGATGGAGCAACTGAGGCTTAGGAAGGTTTGCCTAAGGCTTACAGATAATATATAGTAAAACAAGGGAATTTTGAATCCTAGTTCACATGTTCTTTCCATAATCACAGTGTTTCATATCAACATCAGCAATGTCATTATGAAATGTGAAAATCAGAAATATAGAGAATTCTTTCATAACTCTGATATTCTATAAATTTCTCAAAAGCAGGAAATACATCTTGTTAATACTTTAACCTATTAAGCATCCAGCATAATGCTTGGCATATAATAAGTGCTCCATGTTTAAAGAAGTGAATGATTAATTATAGTAACTACTAGAGGCCCAATGCACGAAGATTCGTACAAGAATGAGCCTTCCTCCTCCTGGCTGCCGGCACCGCTTTTGCTCTGGCCTGGAGCCGCCTTTCCACCTTCCCACACTGCCCAGAGCGGCTGGGGCGGTGCAGAATGCCTGTGTCCCGCCCCGCACCCGGCCGCTCAGTGCCTGTGTATGCTAATTAACCCACCACCATTGGTGGGTTAATTTGCATACTCACTCCTGATTGGCTGGTGGGCATCACAAAGGTATGGTCAATTTGCATCTTTCTCTTTTACTAGTGTAGATGGTATATCATATTTTTACTATGTCTGCTGTATTATGAAATCTTACTATTTTTCATCTATTATTTGATTTATGGTCCAAATCTGCGTAACAAGCCTTATTATGGGTCCTAACATAAATAAACACTTACTGTTCTTTCTGGTCCTCAATGTCTTACTGATCTGAGCTCTACTTTATGTATATATTCTATATCATCAACATAATATAATTTAGCTTCTATTTGTATCTTAGATCACTGATTATACATGTATTATATATCAACACTTAAACTCCCTAAAGTAAGATTTGTTTCAATGTCCTTTTGACTTAGTTATATTTTGTTAAGAAATGAAATCCTTGATTTAGTTAGTGAGGAAATTGCAGGCTCAATTTCACCATAAGTTCAATTCCTTATTATATCAAAGTAACTTGGCAGATTTTGAACCATAATAAATTTTATGCCAATTGTATTTGTGTCATGGTACTTGATGGTAAATTATCCTTAAAATAGAAATTCAGTTATTTAATATAAGCAACAATTCAACTTCTGAAATCACAAATAGAAATCACTGGTTTTTAGTCTTTCAGGGAACTCATCATCCATTATTTCATATAAAAACATGCATTTTTAAGCCACAGAAAACCTTGGAAGGTCTAATCCAGTTTTCATCAACCGCATTTTCAGGCTTTTTAAAAACCGATTTGCCTTCTCTTTTCATGAAATTTTAATAATACATACTGTTTACCTATCTATAACTATATGTGTATCTATGCTTTATACATAAAAAATATATTTTTCATTCCCAATTATTGTCACCACTGAGAAACATCACATTTTCCAGGTAAGGACATTGAAGCCCAGAAATATTGCATATTTGCCTAAAGCAATGCCAGAGGATCTTTTAGTTATTGGAACAAACAACTCAAAAATTATTAGAGAACTGACTAAGAAACTACTGGTTACCTAGACACCAATTATATACTCAATACAACTACAATTATCTTTTTATTTTCACAAGAGAACAGGCAAGGCATGTAACCTAAATTGGTCTATTTTGTGTCCTTTTATGTAACTTTTCATAGAAGTTGAAAAAAATGGCTAAATGGATTCTTACTATAGGAAAATAAATAATGTTATCCCATACATCCCCAAAATGCCCTACCTCTTGTCTTTAAAACAACTTCTTAAAAACCTCTATTAACAAAAACAGTAGCAGAATTCAGAAATAAGAAGAAAATGATGCAGGAACACATTTCCAGAATTAAAATTCAAGTTCTTAAGAAAGTAATTTACTGTATTAGAATAACTATTTTGAAATAAAAATGCCTATATATTTTCCTTCTAATTTCTGGACATATTTTTAACTGGCAAGTTATTTTGGACTAAGTAATTAGCATTATTAATATTCTTACCAGTTCTATCATATGACTCGTGGCATGTACGTGCAATTTCTGCCCCTAGCTCTAAATAATGACCAGCTTTGTTCCTGGAACCATCTGCTCCAAGTGCAAACATTCCCCCAGCAAAGCAGGCCAAATGTCCCATCTTCTTTTCCAGGTGCCCATTCTTCCATTCTCCAATAAAGGTAAGGCCTCCACGGGATTTCTTAATAAGATGTTTTTCTATAGCCTACAAGAAAGAGTAGATATTCAAAACTTCAGAAGCAAAATATTAGTGTTCAAACTTACTGCATCCTTCTGACTATAAAACCTTGTTAATATAAGACTCCATAAAGCAGTAACTTTCCCAAATTGGAAGGCTTAATTTACAATGAGTTTTGGAGTAATCAAGTTGTATATGAGCAAAGCAATACATGCCACATACTAGTTCAACTCCTGTGTATTTTTGTAAACAATTATAGAAAATTGATTTCCTAAAAGGTAAAGATATAAATTAGGAAATAATAACCTTTGTTTAATTTAAAAACAAACTAAAACTCTAAGTACTGATCAACAGCTAGAGTCAGAATTGTATATACTTTACAGTATATACAAAATATACAACTTTTAAAAAGTGATTAAAATCATTAAAGGGATATGTTTATACTAGATCAGAAACCAAGTAACATACTAAGTGGTTAACACACTATTCTATTTCACAGTTTTTGCTTGGAAATATCACATACAAGTGTTGCCAAGAATGAAACTTGTTCCAAATGTAAACTGCCACAACACTGTGGTATGAGGTTATATAAATATAGAACTGTGGTTAAGAGCACAGGTTTTGGAGCCAGGCTGTTTAGTTCCAGGCTCCATCACTTACTGGTGCATCCTTCATAAAGTTACTTCAACTCTCAGTGCCTTGAAGTCCTCGTGTGTGAAGTGTAGTAAGGATTAAGTTACTTCACATATGTAAAAGGGTTAGAACAGTGCCTGGCACGTGGGAAGTACTATATACTGTTTTGCCCTTATTATTTACCCAGAGGCTCTCAATATACACGTTCAATGGGTCATTTGAAAGAAGAAATGTTCATGGAAATGCATGTAAAGTCAGAAGTTTTTCTAGTCTCTATAGACAATAACTAAAAATAATTAAAATAATTGTTCATACATAAATATGTTACAGTAAATTCTTCTATAATTTCTTTAAAATGCCACAATAAAGGAACACTTAATATAAGACTTTTATATTAAAAAACTTAAACTCTACAATGAATGCACATAATAAAATGCATATAAGATGTCCATCTGTCACTATCAAATACAATGTATATGCCATATGTTAAACAGGTAAGTGTTCTGAGCATAATTACCTCAATAGCATCATCATACATGTTTCTAGCCTCAAGGTCTGTTTTATCTGACATCAACCATGCTTTCAGTAAGTATTCATAAAAACTGTCTCCCAGCCCACCAACTGATGTATGATCTGTAACAAAGAGAAAAGAGAAGGATGGAGGTGGAGAAAAGAGAAGACAGAAGACAATTACATAATGTTTTTCAGTTAAAATGACTATTTAAAAATTATGTTGACAGCTCTATTTCCAACATACTTCAAATTTAGTACAATAAGAGCATACTATAATCACTCTCCTCTACATATACCCAATTTTCTAGAAAAATCTTCTTCTGCTGGGTGTATTTCACATACTTAGTAGTCTTTTTTTTCTTCAGTCACACAGTTTGCATAGTGTCAAACATCCAAACATTTCCATTATTGAAAATAATTATCTTTGGTATATTAATGGTTTTACCTATATAAGCTATAAGATTAAATGTAAGAGACATACTAAAATCTGATGTTAACCGAAAAGAGCTCATTTTTCTATAGATAGTGAATGGTGAATTCTGTGCAGTAGGCAGTAAATTAAAAGAAATCTACAAAGAAAAAAAAGCCCAAGAATTCCTTTGTAATGTCACCTTGCACAATATTAAGTTGTTGAATCAATATCCTTGATTACTATTTATATAGCTATTAGTATATATTTGTTTGTCCTAGGTATATTCTTATTTTTATAGATAAAATATCATCCATACTTTTAATCTTATCCGATTTAACAATATAATTCCCAAGGCAACCATACTCTTCTATTCCTGACTTTCTATAAACCCTACCCCACATCCTCAAGCTTTGTTTCAAAACTCACATCTTCCCTGCATGAAAAGAAAAATATCACATATTACATTCATATATTAGTTTTTCAAATTAGAGAAGAAAGGATGGACTATTCAGGTTTATGGAAACAACTGTCTATCTGGGAGAAAATGCATATTAATATTTATATCTTTAGCTCACAAAAATTAATTTGTGGTGGATTAATGATTTAAAAGTAAACAAAACTTAAGTATAACAGAAGGAAAACCAACATAGGGCACATACAATTAACAACAACAAAATGCAAATTGATAATTAACCTAAGAAAGGAAGTTCAACTCCACTAATGATCAGAGAAAAGCAAATTAAAACAATGAGATTCCATTTTTGTCTATTTAATGGGCAAAGATTTTAAAAGATTAATAACAATGTTGATAAGGTATGGCTCAGAGTTGCTGGAACTTAAAAGGCAATGTTATAGTAGCTATCAAAATGTAACCTAGGTTTCCTAGTTCTGGAATTACCCTACACTAACATTTGCACAAATATACAACACTGATCTAAATGCATCACAAGACTATTTCCATTAGTAAAACAGTAAGATACCTCATATGTCTAAAAAGTGACTAAAGAAATTACGTATAAACATACATACATATACATACATACTCTAGCAGACCATGAAATCATTGAAGAGAATCAGGCAAATCTGTAACCTGATACTGGAGGATATTTATTATATGTTGTTGAGTAGGGGGCAAAAAAGCAAGTTTCAGAACAACATAGTTTGATACTACTAAAGAATTGCGTGTTTAAGGGATGCTATTGTACACATAGAAAAGGTTTGAAAAGACAACTGTCAACAATGATTACATCTAAAAAAAGGAGCCCTTCAATTTTTACTTTATATGCTTACATTTTATCGAAATACATGTATCTTATGTAATTAAGTCATCTTGTTATAGAAAGTAATAAATGGGGGGAAAGTGCCCTCATTCACTTCAGGCAGTATGTCTGCCTGTACTCTAATAATTCACTTGTACCTTAAACAAGCCCATGTTCCCTATAATGACTTTGAACAAATATCTGCTTTTAGCTCTACTTTTCACTCATGTAATTCAAATACTTGTACCTACTGTTTATAAACCTCTGGAGTTACAACAGTTTCCTTTTCTACAATCCTTGGAGTATATTCTAGATTATGCTGTTCTTAGATCTACTCACCCACTCCCAGCCACAATGTGTTCTACAAGCTTGTTGAAATATCTTGTTCGTTATGATTTCTCAACTTGCCTCCAAATCTCTTTACTCTTATTTGATTACTAGAGGCCCAGTGCATGAAATTCGTGTGTGTGTGGGAGGGAATCCCCTCAGCCCGGCCTACACCCTCTCCCAATCCGGGACTGCTGGCTCCTAATCACTCGCCTGCCTGCCTGATCACCCCTAACCACTCTGCCTGCCTGCCTGCCTGCTCGCCCCTAACCACTTGCTCGCCTGATCGCCCCTAACTGGTTGCCTGCCTGCCTGATCACCCCTAACTGCCTCTGCCTCGGCCCCTGCCACCGCGTCTTCGTCCGGAATGATGTCCGGAAGGTCATTCGGCTGTCCAGTCTAATTAGCATATTACGCTTTTATTATTATAGATTCCTTTCTACATTTCTGTACTTTCATTTCATTGCAGTCTCAGGAAGGATGGTTGGCCACAGTGGTAGAGTTATAGCTCAATCTTCTACCATGAAGCAGAAGTCCTAATAAACCTTTCGTAAGGTTACTTCCTTTTGGATATCTCTACAATTAGCTAATGTTAAATATATTGAATTTCTCATTCCCTTGTCTCCCAATTTGTTCCCACTGCTCAATCATGAATAAAAACCAAAGCATGTGGGAGCCTAGGGAATCTTAGTTTACTCTAATACTTCCTGCTGGTGTTGGACTTTTAAGCTTGTAACCACTGTGTTATTCAAGATAATCTTAGGTGGTACATAAAAAATCTTTTAAAAATTGTAATAGTTTTATTAATTAACCTTATCAAGATGATCTTTTAACTGACTCTAATTTTGAAAGAAGCTCTACTGTGGATAAAACGCTATTACACAGCACCACATGGTACAGAGAAATCGTTCATGAAAGGGGGATTCAATTGATGCAGCAAACTCCATTGTTATCTTAAGAAATTGCCACAGGCATCCCAACTTTCAGCAACCACCACCTGATAGTCAGCAGCCATCAATTAGAAGCCATTGTGGAGGATGTATTGATCAGGGGTGATATTAACTGTGGGAGAGAACTGAAGGCCTAATTAACTGAAGGGAAGAAGAAATGAAGGCCAGATCCTCAAAGGAGTTTGAATTTGGGGCATGTTGAGTTTGAGGTGCCAGTTGGATATATAAATGAATATGATAAACAGGCAATCAGATATGCAGAAATCCAGAGAGAGCACTAAGTTAGGGGTATACATTGGGGAGTCATCAATACATAAAATGGATTTGAGCCATGGGAGTTTACCCAAAGAGAATGGAATGATTAGAGGATATAAATGGTACTCTGGAGCATAATACTTAGAGAAGAGTCATCAAAATAACATACAGGGTTTTGTAAAGCTCTGGCTATATTGTAGATCTCTGGAAAGAACAAATGAGCAGGAAAGTAAACAAGATTAAAAGTATAACAGAATTAAAGGAGGTGAACTAGTGAGGGAAAACAGGAAAAAGCAAAATCATGGCTTAAGAGAAATGTTTTTTGGATCCATGAATTATTGCCAGAGTTTACGGTTTAGCGGTATGTTACTCAGGTTATAGCATGTAGTCACAGTCCTGCTCAGAGGTTCTCTCCAACTCTTCTAAGCTATTGCTCCAGTGGAAGATTATCCTATATAATAAAAGCCTATATGCAAATTGACCAAACAGCGGAATGACCGGTGGAACGACCAGTGGATATGATGTGCAATGACCACCAGGGGGAAGACGCAGGAGCTGCCCCCAGTCCACAGGCCCCAGGCCAGCCAAGGTGGGTGCCAGCGGGGGCCCCCCGCAACCGCCCCACCGGTCACCCCTCAGAGGGAGGCAGCCAGCGGCAGTGGCAGAGAGCAGGGCTGGTGAGCAGGCAGCGCCAGGCCTAGGGACCCTTCCCATGCACGAATTTCATACACTGGGCCTCTAGTATGCTTAATAAATGAACACACAGCAGAAGCCTGAGATCCACGATAACTATGGAATTTATCACCCAGTAGTCTGACTTCTTACTTAAACCACTGAGACATGCCTGCTAGGTGTCGAATTCAATGAAACGTGACTCTCCAAGCTCCTTTTGATATTCAGAAATTGATAACACATTACAAAACACTACTAAATATCAATGATTCACATAATCTGTGTCAGCATGTCATGATTTACTAGTGTTTTATAGAAAATTCTAGATTAAAAACTAATATTTATATCATATGTTTAAAGTTTATGAAGCATTTTCAAATATATTATCTTAAAATATGATCCAAATGGTCATCCTATTAAATAAGTACAATTAGAACAGATGAAAAAACAAAGGCACAGAAAAGTTAAATAACATCTAAATTATTAAGTGGAAAATCCAGAATTAGTCTTCTAACTTCAAATATTTTACCCATTCTTGTTTTTCCCACTTTTTTATTTATTAGGGTAAAATTTAATAAATTAGTAATGACCAATTTCCTATATTTTCTTCACATCAATCATTAAATGGCATAGGCTAAGCATTGTATTTAGAAAATGAGTAAAAAAAAATAAAGTAAAACCAGAAAAAATACTAATGATGTGGCTTTAAATCTAGGTTTCTTACCATACTCTTTTATATCTGTTGCCAAGAACTTTTCCTGAAGGTAATTACCAGTAATTATTCTCTGTGATTGCTATGTGCATGTCACAAACATTGTCATTATTCTAATTACAATATAGTTAGCCAAAGCTGAATTGTTAAATTTCAGTTCAATTCACTGTTTTGCAGACTATTTATAGATATGACAGATGTATACTGCTCAAAGATAATAATGGAATTTGATGTACTTTTCAGAAGCTGATATAAAATATATAAAACATTAAAAGGAACAAATTGGACAATTTAGTAAGGGCTGCAGCTGCTAAAGGATATAAGAGCAACTCCCCTAGGATTTTAAAGACCCCTTGCCAATAACCATTGAATAGCTTTCTATAACATCCTCAAATTAATACTGCTGAAAGTCAATGTATTCTGAAGAGGCAATTTCAATTTATTTGGGGGGGGATGAAAGGATTATTTTTATTGCAATTCTTTATTGTGATGAAATAAATATAACAAGAAAGTGGATATTTTAACCATTTTACAAGTAGAAAAACTGAAGCTACAAGAGATTAGAAACTTGCCGAAGATAACAGCACTAGTAAATCTCAGGCTTAGACACTAACTGGGGGCTTCTCATTCTACATGTAGTGTACTTACCACTACATCAAGCAAAAGTTTCCACACAAATAATCTTTTAACAAAGCATCAGCTGTACTAGAAATACTTACACTGACCCCAGCGACCTGTTCTTGGGTTCAAATAATTTGGATAGAGACCATTTGGACGATCCATTTTCTGAAGTAGCCTCCGAATGTGCATGACCTAAAGAATGCAATTAACAAAAATAAATGTCATCATGGCTTTATACTTATCTAAGCTTTGTGTTTTTTCCTCACTCAGAACCTTCACCACCTCCCCTGCCTTTGTGTGTTGTGTGTGTGTGGTGGTGAAGTAAAGCTACTATTTTTAAAGTGCCTCATTTTTATGACATATGATCATTATATAAAATCAAGCAACAATAAAAATACAAAGCAAAAAGCCACTGGAGTTTTGATGGCATTGAATTGATGGTACAGTTGGAGATGACTACAATTCTTCTGATATTGTTTAACTATACATGAGCAGGACCTATCTCTCTCTACTAAGGTCCTCTTCAATAGTACTCAGTAATTCTGAACTTTATCTTTTGGTAGATTTATCTGCAGAAAACTTACATTTTTGTCCCTACCACATCTATATATATATAAAAGCCTAAGTGACCGTTACGACCAGTCGACCGGTAGCTATGGTGATGCGCTGACCACCAGGGGGCAGACGCTCAACACAGGAGCTGCCCCCTGGTGGTCAGTGAACTCCCACAGCCAACCTCCTGCAGCCGGCCAACCTCCCACAGTCCCTCCCCCTACCAGCAGGCCCCAATTGCTGACCAGGCTGAGGGACCTCACCCATGCACGAATTCGTGCACCAGGCCTCTAGTAATGTATGTTTTTGTAAAATGACACTTTCTTGCCTCTTGTAGCTGATGCCGAGAAATGCTACGTATTTTTAATATCTATATTCAAAAATATATTAAGCTCTTATTTCTAATAATTTAAATGTAGACTGTTTTAATATTTTAGGTAGATAATCATGTAATTTGTGATTAATTACTGTTTTTTTCCTTCCTTTTCAAGTCAATTCCATTCATGAACTTTTTGTTCATTTTGTTTTTCTTGCCTTACCATGCTAGTTAGGAATTTCAGCACAATGCTGAACAGAGACGACAATGAGATTTTTAAAAAGCCTACAAGTCATTAAAACTTCTCAAATAACAGTAAATATTTTAAATATGTTCTAAAAAGAAAGGACATCTCTTTAGGTAATTTAAAAAGAAAAAGGCCAGAACTCTAATAAACATATTTCTAGAAAGGGAATCATTCTCTAAGCATCAAATCTTAGAGAATGTTTTTGTGAATGTTGTCAAATCTTTTTGTGAATGTTGAAGGACATTTTTTTTTTAAATATTGAACTCTTCACGAATTTATGTGTCATCCTTGTGCAGGGGCCATGCTAATCTTCTCTGTGTCATTCCAATGTTAGTATATGTGCTGCCAAAGCAACTCTTTTATAACAAAAGAAAGAGAGCTAACCTTTTTGTAGTAAACCGGATCCCCTGTCAAGTAGCTAAGGTGGACAAACTCCATATGCAGTGTTCCAAATTCAGCAAGAATGCTGCTACCTGCAGATGCCCAGCCCCAGTTCCGCCCGACTCCACTAAGTGAAAGCAAAGAGAAAAGGAGAAGAATTGGAAAAAGACCAAAATATTTTTTAAATGAATACATACACTTTAAATAAATATCTCAGAAATTATTATATCTATAATATTGAATGTAAACTATAATTGAAAAATAAAATTTAAAATATTATATCTAACACAATAGCTTATTTATAACTAAAATTTTACTTTATTATTAAAAAATTTTTTGAATTGGTACTACATCCACATTTAAAAAATTAAAACATAGAAAAGCATATAGTAAACATATTTCACCCCAGAAATCGCATCTCTCTTCACACCACCAAGTCCCATAGATATCACTTTCATTAACTTATATGTTGGTACAGAATTTTTAATGCATATATAAGCAATCCAAATATATATTATTTCCTTCCTTTTTTAAACAAAACATAGCAAAGTATATTTACTGCTCTGTACCTTGTATTTTAACTCTTAAGATGTACCTCAGTGGTCTTTACATCTTCGTTCATTAACAACTTTCTTTTTAAAGCTGCACAAAATTCCATGATAGTAATGACTTGCAACTGGAATGCCCCACCCCAGAGGCCTATGAACATGTGTGAGAGCATTCATTCTGAGTTGTCTCAAACCCTGAAGGTGAAACTTGCATTTATTGTGCTGGGGCCAAAGATGCAACATCTGTAATGGCCAGGACAGTATCACACAATAAAGAACTGTCCAGTCCCAAATGTTAACAGTGCCAGTGTGAAAGCTACTATACTATGCAAACAGATATAATTTAATCCATACCCTATTGGTGGTCTGTCAGCATATTTCTAATATTTTGCTATTATGAAAACTTTTACAGTGAATAATCTTGTGTAGATTTCTTTTGTGCAGAAGTATTGCTAGGATATCTTCTTGTCTTTTTTTTAGCCTGCCTTATAATTGTTATTGGAAGCCAGACAATATAAATGAAAAAATGTCAAGGCATTAGGCATTGTCTTCTAAGAAGGTTAAGTTTCTTGTGAAACACAGGTTGAGTAGAGGCAAATTACCTCGGTTTTAGGCTGTGTTAAGGGTAGTCTATTTCAGTTTTACCCCTACTCCTAAGGAGTGGCCCTCTGAGACTCAGCTGAAAGCCTGGGGTGTTTATCAAGAGATCTCCACCTTGCACCCTCAAACACTAACCTCTGTCTCCCCAGTACCATGTCACTTAAATTTTCTCCTTTGCCCACTAGCCTCCAGATGCTGTTTTCTTGCTGGATTTCCTTGAGTCTTGCCTCATGCATGTGCAATCACAGAATCAGCCAACAACTTGAGGAAAACCTGTACATAAATTTTTGAGCTTTTCCTCTGCAATTCCTTCCTGTCTTGAGACTTTGTGCCCCAAGTCTCATTCATTTTGGCAGCTCCAGGACCTGATCACCAGGCCTCCTCTGCCCCATGTTAGGCTTGACCTCTTGCTCTGTACCGTGACTTGGAAAATGCCCTCGGGGGGGAAAAGCCAATGTTTATACGGAGATGATCTTAGGAAATCCCACCTGAGTTAGTTGCTCTATAATGCCCCCAAACCATTTGGTTAAGCGTTTATGATTGTTTTTGGTGGTAGGGTTAGTCTGATATAAGTTATTCCATGTTTGGAACTGGAAGTCTAGATTAATTATTCAAGTAGCAGAGTTATTCTTACTAGACCTCTAAACCATTCTCCAGGGTCTTTTCTACTTTGGGGACAAAGTAAAAATGTAAGTCTTTCTCTCATGTTATACCCACTTGTATAGTGACAATTCAATATGCCATATTTTATTCATCTGTGTGGGGAAACATTAAAATAGTTCTCAAGCCCAAGAGGTCACCGGTTTGATTTCTGGTCAGGGCACATGCCCAGGGTGTGGGCCTGATCCCCAGTAGGGAGCATGCAGAAGGCAGCCAATCAATGATATTTCTCTCTCATGGATATTCTATCTCTCTATTCATTTTCCTCTCTCTCTTGAAAAAAAAAAAGTTACCAATACATGATCACTATCTCATTTAACGTTCTTTAATTAGCTGGTGCAGTTTTTACACTATCTTTGAAAATAATATGGTACCAGTAACGGGTTTTTGTGTGCTAGAAGTGAGAATCAAGGAAGAAATAATGATAAATATTAGTAACTACATAGGACAGTCATTCATTCCCAAATAGTAAGTGCCTACTATTCTCCAGGAGATGTAATACTGGATCTGACATATAACATTCCTGCTCCCATAAAAATAAGACCATTTATTTATTTACTTACTTACTTACTTACTTATTTATTTATTTATTGGGGGGGGTTGTTGTTGTTGTTGTTGTTATTGTTGTTAATCCTCACTTGAGGATATTTTTCCATTGATTTTTAGGGAGAGTGAAAGGGAGAGGGAAAGACAGAGAGAAACATCGACATGAGAGAAACACATCAATTGGTTGCCTCCTACAAGTGCCCCACCAGGGCCCAAGCCAGGGAGGAGCCTGCAAACAAGGTATGTGCCCTTGACTGGAATTGAACCCAGGAGCCTCTGGTCCGCAGGCCGATGCTCTATCTACTGAGCCAAACTGGCTAGGCAATAAGACCATTTTAAATAGTGGTATTTGTTATGAAGAAAATTAAATAGAAAAACAGAATAGTGGGTACTAGTGAAGGTGAGTTAGCAGGCAGGCTCTTTATGTATAATGTTCAGAGAAAGTGCTTCTGAAAAGACACAATCTGACTGAGAACTGAATGATGTGAGAAGGAGCAAGAGATGACTAGATCTGGTAGAAGATAATTCCCATCAAAGAAACAGCAAATGCATAAATTAAATAAAAACCCCAATAGATAAATTAAAATAGAATTCTACAACAAGAATACCCACATACAAATAGAACTTACCTTTTCAGATTCACCATTGCCCAGGGAATCCCAGTCGGTGTGTTAAAGGCAGGAAGGAGCTTCTCAGCCAACTGGACTGCTTTAATCTTGAATATCTGAGATAAAAACATGAATATTCATAAATTATAGTAATCAATTCATGAATTGCAGCCATAACCATATGCTGGTCTCTCATACAATGCATACTGAAATGTACTGGATACATGCAAGTACAGGATGAAAATGACATCTCTGAGGTACCATGTAGCATATACCGCAATCAGGGAAAATATACATTGGATACTGAGGAAAGCTACCCAATGTGCAATGGGCTGAAATTACAATTAATTGAAAGATGAGGATATGGTTTTGGTAGTAGTATCTGTATTTTCAGCTGGCAAAGATCTAAGAAAAAACATTAGGCTATGAGATGTTCATCCATGGTATACAAGCTTAGTATAAACATCAAAACAAAAGAAAAAGACACAACCCTATTTGGATAAATACCCTTGAAGTACTTTAAGTACATTTATGCCTCAACATTTTCCATCAAAGTTTAATCAATTTATTAAAGTAAAAGAAAACATTTGAGTTCACACTCCAAGTTTCATTTGAGATTTATAAATGATTCACCCCTTGGTCCCAATTGCTGCTATTTTGGGTACCTGAAACAATCAATTACCTAAATATCAGTGTTTCTAAACTTTTAAAATCGTGTACTATTACAAAAATATACATGGTAAGACTTCAAATATCCTTAGCATATCAAAATAGATATAGGTCTGTGTACTCTACTGTGGAACTATTGACTTAAAGACTCCAAACTGAGATTGGATTATAATACCTCATTAGGAAAAGTGGCACGTTCTTCTATATGCCTCAAGTCTATCCTTTCAAATTGATTTCAAATTGATGGGTTATTTACAGCATTCTAACTGACTGGATGTATGAAAAACACACACATACATACACACACACACACACACACACACACACACAGCAAGCACATTTTTCCTAGTTAAAATATATCAAACTTATGTTTATAGTTGTACAGCATTCTATAGTAAGAGATGTATTAATTTATTCAACCATCCCCCCTTCATGGGCTTTTCAAATATTGGTTACTACAAACACACTACTGCAATGAAATATCCTTCTGAGTATACCTTATGTATCCACATTGTTACTTTTAGAAAATATATTTCTAAATAGATAGCTGGCTCAAAGAGAATTTAAAATTTTTGTTTTAATCCTCACCCAAGGATATTTTCCCATTGATTTGTAGAAAGAGTGGAAGAGAGAGGGAAAGACAGAAATATTGATGTGAGAGAAACACATCTCTTGCACAAACTCCGACCAGGGCTCAGGCTGGGAAGGAGCCTGCAACCAAGGTATGTGCCCTTGACCCAGAATCGAACCCAGGACCCTTCAGTCTGGCAGGCCAATGCTCCATCCACTGAGCCAAACCGGCTAGGGAGAGAATTTTAAGTTTTAAATGTTTACTTGACATTGCAAAATTATTTTTCAAAAATTGTATCATGCGTATTCCCTCCAAATAGCTTCTTTACATTTAAAGTGGGTGCATTTAATTGTATGTATATTGACGTCAACAGAGATGCTTAAAATAAGTAATCTGGGCCTTGAAGTTCTTCACCAGGCGGAAGTGGAAGGATAAGCGTTTACTTTAGGCAGAAAATTATGGCATAGCTCTATAAAAATACAGGGAAATGAAACAATGTGGTCTAAATATAGTGTCATGTATATAGAACTGGGGGCTTCTCTTCTCTTGCTCACTCCTTCCTGGATTTCACCCCTAAATTTCTAGCTCCTGTGGTAGGTGACTCGAAACCCTTCTGATCTGTCAAACCAGGAATCATAACCATAACCATCAACTATGAATTGGTATTAGTTCTGTGACTTTAAAGATGTAGAATGAGTACAGAAGTGTAGATTAACTCTTACAGTTAAGAGGAAAACGTTGGAGAGTATATTTTAAAATGTTATCTGGGTCAGCAAGGCATAGTGGAATGTTTGTTCAAGTACCAGCACATCGGTAGAAAGTGAAAGTGTGGAATTTTCAATGAAAATAGCAGCAATTTTTGGAGCAAAATTAGGTTTTCAAAGAATAAAATGAGAATCACTGCAGTAGGACAATATGACTAATATTTAAAACAGGAAAAAATAATACTCTACATCTCTTTTTTCTTTAACTCAGAACTTTTTTGAAAGGACTTTAGTTTAAAAAAAGGATATTCTATTGACCTAACCCCACAGACAATACAGTACTATTTGTGTTTTGGTAAGGAAAGATTTTGGTGGCGGTGTTCCTTTTATTTTGTTTTTATTATCTGTGAAATATGTATTAAACTTGACATAACCACTTCTCTACCCATTCTGACAGATTTCAGACGCAGTTATCCGCATAAATTATGTTATTATCTTATTCAGGAAGGGATGCCACTTTGATAACCAATAAAAAATGAGAAGAGACAATCTGTAAAAGGTACGCCATATATTTGAGAAGTAAGCATAATAAATCATCAAGATTTTTAAACTTGTGAATATTTAATATAAATAGCCTTGTTCTAAGAAAATAAAATGATAAAGTTTCATATTTATGAGATTAATAAATCAACAGGAGAGGAACGCTTTATCAGTTTGACATATGACCCTCATTTGGTTCTTATACCAGAACACAGAATGCATGTAAAACGTTCTATAAGAGAGGCATTTTGCCATCTTATAAGTTACAGGTAATTTTCTGGCTTATATGAGACATAGGGAGTTGTTGTCTATCTGGTATTAGAATACTGTCATATCCAAATTATTTTTCTATGTTTTATTTCTTTTTAGCCGACCTCAGGGACTCATTGTTGGTTTCCTAAAACATATGGATTAAAGCTTTCCATGTAAAATGATCAAGGAGAAAAGTAAAATGGTCAGTAATATTCTACTGTATGAGAAAGTCACAAAAGTAAAACATGTTCTCTTTACTTTATGAGTAGACTATATCCTAAAAAATTAATATATATCCATTTTAAAATAAACAAAAGGATTCCCATTAGTAACACAGAATACTTACCACACAGGAAAAAGTCAAAGGAGAAGAAAAGCAAAGTAATATCTACTGAGTCAGGTACTATGCTAGGCACTGTCATGTAACTTAACCTCACAACTCTCAAGGGAACTCTCACATTGTCATAGATTAAGAAACTTCAATTATAGAAGGTAAATGCCTTGCCAAATATCATTACGAAAGAGAGGCAGGGTAGGAATTCAACCTCTAACTCCAAATCATATGTACTTTCCTCCACAAAATAGAAAAAATAGAAATAATGGTAACATCATATGCCTTTCACCATGTTAGTGTTTTCCAATAACAGCAACCAAAATTTCAACATTCTGCTTCGACTTTCAGGTGGGGAGCCCAGTGTGAACAGCCAAGGCTGATATTTCTCTTTCATGTGCTGTTCATAATTAATTTCGAATCCTATGCCTTTTGGTAGGAAAATTAATCAAGTATGCCAATTACACAAATTATTTAGTACTTCTACATAATCAAATAAGCATAAAGGTAAAAAGAAAAATGTGCTCCTTTCTCCAGAGAATTGGGGAAAAAAATCTGAAATTGAAGGCACCAAAATAGTTCATTTTCTTCCTCCCTTTATTGTTTAATGTCACCCCAGAAGCTCCTGAAGTCAAGAGTCTGAGCCCAGAAATATGACTGGAGTGAGCAGGAATGTCCTAGAGCAGTTGGAACCAACATGAGGAAAGTAAGGCCAACCGAGCAAAGGGAGTCAAGTCCCAGATCAGTCCATGTGAAGAAGATGTACTCAACAAGGCAACAGCCTGGCGAGATCAGGAAAGTATTTTCATACAGCAAGACTCAGCCAATAGGGAAATAAAGGATGTTTCTCTCTCTCCCTCCCTCCCTCTCTCTAAAAATATCCTCAGGTAAGGATTAAAAAAAAAGAATAAATGTGAACTGAAGAAGTGGCTATAGAAAGATAAGTTGGAGGTATAACGGAGTTACATAATAAAGTCTGACAGTAAAATTACAAATTAAATCAATATTATGTATCTAACATTTCTATTAAACACCGACATCTTCAAACATATTGCTTCTAAAAGAATTGTAGAACAGGAATAGCTCACTCTTTATACAAGCATGCAACACAGATGAAATATTTAAATACAAGCATATGAAATCATAAAAATCCAGAAGGAAAATGGGAATTTTTGTTTTGTAATAACACAAACATGGGGAAGGCTTTCTAATAACATCTTGAAGCCATAAAGGTTCAAAAAATCCTAAAAATGATGATTTTAAAGTTTATCACAAAAAACTAAAGACAGCACAGAAATCCATGTTTTAAAACACATAACAAAAGATGAATTTTCTTAAATTTACAAAGAGTTCTCACAAACTAATGGAATATATGGGTGAAGTAGTTTCTCAGAAAACGAAATATAAATTACTTATAGCTTCCTTCCCTTAGTTTCTCTCTCTTCCACTATCCAATTCCATTCTTTATTCCATCTGAGTAGTGGAATTTCCCACATCCACTTCTCCATCACCGTAAGACTCCACTGTGTCTGTGTGTATTACACCAAGACTTCCAGAAAGAGAACTCAGAGTTGTTTTATTTTGTTTTTTAAGTTTAGAGCAAAAAACTGTAGTCAATTTCCAGACAATTTTAATAATTAATTTTTGGTCTTGGGAGGATCCATATTCAATCTTTATGATTCATCCTTCATTATGATCTTATTCATTCCCCCCCTCCCTTTGTTTTGACCATGTAATTAATTGTAGCAGCAACCACCTGAAGAAGGATCGCTCCTACAAAGGAGACGTGGTGTATGTAAAGTTAAGATCTGTGATGGATTTATGTTCTCAAAATGAAAAACTCACTATTCCCAAGGAACAGTCCTACTTGTGCCCTCCAGTTCTTTCAGCAAACCTTAGCTTAATATTGACAATTAAGAAAATGTTATGCTGCTGGGGAAATCTTTCATTTTATTAAGTTCCATTCACAGCCCCTTCCCCAAACCAAACGTATTACTTAATTTTGCTCACCTCCTCTCCTGAAAGGTAATATGCTGCGAGTAGGCCTCCAATAAATCGAATGTTGACTTCAAACACAGACACCTCTGAATTCTGTGAAAATATATTGAAAATATTCACATATACGTAAAACTTTATAGTTTTCAATACTTCGTAAGTTTCTTGCAAACATCCTGTGGAGAATGTTTTTCCACTTTCTACATCTTCATCTCTCCCCTCCCATTTGGTAATGTTATTGCAACTCCTCCACTACTGTTCCTGCTACTTCCTAATTGCCTAGAACCGTGGTCGGCAAACTGTGGCTCACAAGCCACACGTGGCTCTTTGGCCCCTTGAGTGTGGCTCTTCCTAAGCCTTAGGAGTACCCTACTTAAGTTAATAACAATGTACCTACCTATATAGTTTAAGTTTAAAAAATTTGGCTCTAAAAAGAAATTTCAATCGTTGTACTGTTGATATTTGGCTCTGTTGACTAATGAGTTTGCCAACCACTGGCCTAGAACAATGGGCCATTTTCATGTATCTTACATATCATTGTGAAATTATCTAAGTATTTGATACTGTTGACTATTCTCTTCTTGAAAGCTTCTACTTCCTGTAATTAGCTACTTCTGGAATTAGCACTCTCCACTGGTCCTTTTCCTTGTTCTAATCAGTATAGAATAATACTCATTTTCACTTCTATCTCTCCTCATGAATTTTAAATATTTTTCCTAGTATATAACTTAATAAATGTAAAAGAGGCACACACACAAAAAAATGGTAGGATGATGGATTATTCAATTAATAATATTGAGAAAATGGCTCCTAGGTAAGAAATCAATGTGGAAAACCATTTCACAAACATACAAAAATATCACAACAAAAAAAGTAGAAGAAAATGTGACTATATGTAGACATCCTTGAAAAAGAAGGTACTTTGTAAGCATTAAATCAATAGTATTGATAATAAATGATGACAGAAAGACTTGAATTTCCCCAAGATGCAAATTACTAATGAGAAAAAAAATATGAACAAAATTAATGAGGAAATTTTGTACAAATATAGCAAATATTAATAACCTTACTACATTGAGTCTGTTTGCTATGAATATAGGTACTGCTGAGAAAAATTCTAACATATGGAAAGAAAAGTAAGTGGCAGAAAGCATGACCAAAGAATTCACAGAATATACACAATTGACCAATATAAAGATAACATTTATAATTTTTTTAATAAAAATTAAAAGGAAATATTTATTACCTTAAAGTCCTCCAAATATTAATAGACAGAATACATACAGCATTTGATACCACAAGTATGTTTCTCCAATATAGAATTTTCACAATACAATGTTATTTTTTTTTTTTACAATGTTATTTTTAATAACATAACTATCATCATACCCATCCTCAAAAGCAAAGTGCTTTGTATTACTCCATATCATACATTCCCAATATATAGCACACTGCAATAGAAATTCACAAATATATAGAGGAAGGGAAAGAGGGAGGGCAGGCCTCTATCACCTTAGTAATCTTCTAGCCAGTTTCCCTGATTTCATCCTTACCCTTCGGCTTACACTCTATACAGCATCCGATAGCTGAGTGAACCTTTTAAATCCTAAGTCAGTTTAGGCTACTATTCCGTGGCAAATTCTTACAATGACTTCTGGCTACATTCAGAGTACAATGACTAATAAGATCCAACATAATCAGATCCCCATTTCTCTGACATCATCTCCTTCCAATATTCCTTTGACTCACTTTTTTATTACCAAATGGGTGTACTTACTGTTCCAGAATTGCCAAACTCCTGTGTCAATCTTTACACTGTACTTTACCTGAAGGTCTTTCTGACAACACAATATAAAATAGTGAAATAATCCCTCACCACTAATATCTCTACCATGTTACCATCTGATTATTATATAATTATTTACTTGTAAAATTTATACCTTCCCTCACAAGAGAGACAGAAGAGAAGTTCTAGAGAATAGGGAGAGAATGGGAAATAGGCATTATTCAAAGGAGTAATGACTGAGAATCTTCCAAAATTGATGAAAACATAAATCCTCAGGTTGATTATACACTATGAATCCTTCAAAGAATAAAAGACACATGGTAATGGGAATTACACTACAACAAAGCAAAAAGTAAAATATTAAAACAGGGGGCAAAAAGACATTATCTTTGAAAAATTAGACACTTTTTAACAGCATAACAGAAACTGAAAGACAACGGAACTATATCTTTAGAAAATGAAAAGAAGATAATCATCAACCTCTAATTCTATATTCAGCTATAATATCTATTAGGAGAGAGCCTTACTTATGTTCACACAGTTTCTGTTGGGTCTCCTCTCAGAAATGTCACCATAACAGTCCTTCAATAACCACCCCATGTAAAATAGCTCTACTTACTCTAATCCTACTTACTCTTTATTGCTTTCCACAGCACTTATCGCCAATGGATATACTATGTATAACTTGGAATATTTTTTTTATTGTGTGAAAGATGTTATAAATGGAGTCATTTCAAAATGGAATCAGAGTTGCCATCCCAGAGGAACTACCTGGCATGTCTTACTCCTCAAACCTTTGGAATATTTTAACTGGACAAAAATAACCTCTAAACTGGGTGAAACCAACATTATATCCCAAACAGCTATTTGTAAAGCTAACAGAAAAGCAGAAATCCTGACTTCAAGGATTGAAAATTAAGGACATTTTTTAGAATTAACACTACCATGTGTATATAGCTAGAGAATAACTCAGCTTTTTAGTACCAACATACTAGTACTTGTAAATTCCTTCCTTCCAATCATATAATTATTTTCCTTTCCTTTCTCATAAAATCCCTTGCCTTCCCTCCTAATTGGAACATAACTTGGGTTTCTGCCTGAATTCTTTCTTATCTCAAGTAAACACTTGTTGCCTCTCACTTTAGCTTTTTATTTTTAGGTTAACAACTGTTTTTCTCCCAAAACTAGAATATAAACTCAAGAAAGAGATAAGACTATGTTTTGTTCATTAATTTTTTCATGAAATCTAGAACAGTGTCTTTTACAGAGGAAGTGTGGTAGGCAGTTATACAGATGAGCAAAGCAAGGATGATGGGCTATGTACAGGTCTCCAAGGTAGAAATCCCCAGGTGCCTAGCAAAGGACAAGTGTAGCCTGGGACCTTGCCCCCCAGGGTGACCTTTCCTCCCCTAGCATATCACTGGTCATGCAGTTTGGATCCCCTAACCTTTTGTCCCTAGAGGTTATATCTAGGCCTCAGTTGTGTTTCAGCTCCAGGCCCAGAAAAGCAGCAAAACCAGACAAACAATGCCACAGCTGATCTCAGGACTGGCTGCGTTGAATGATTCCCTGCCCCTGGCACCGACCAATCAATTAGTGGAGACCCTGACCCTTGAAAGCACACACCTGGAAAGCTGATGAATATTCTACTGAGATATTCCCCTGGGACCTCCTCTAAAATCTCTACCTTTAAGACCTTTAGGACAGAGCATCCAGCTCACTCTCCCTCTCAGAAGCACACCTGAGCCTTTCCCCTGGTCTTCCTCCTCTCCTCATTTGCCAGCTGGCTGCCTTATAGGCTATGCCAATAGGAGGTTTACTAAGATGACACAAGGCTAGAGGAAGGAGAAGGGACTTATTCCATCTCTGGTTTCTGACAGTGTCGTCACCCAGGCAGTGGCCATTAGTTCCAGGTTACAGTTCCCCTGCCATACATACACAATCTCCAAATCAGCTTTCTTACAGCCCTTAGCAATACCAAACACTAGCTAGGTACCCGCTCCTCAGAAGTCTGAAACCTAGCTCTAAGAAAGTCCTCCTAAGATCCCAGAAACAAGAGTCCTTAAATACTAAATTTTAATTATCCTAATCTCTTCACATTGTTCTCAAAGTCCCAGGGGTAGCAGCTGTTTACTGTAGGTAATACTTCTTGTGATACCACAATGTCCTCTTTTTGCCTTTTCAGTTCCCCATAATTTGGTTAATAATACTAAGCAGTAAATTCTCTAACTAAAATAAATAGCATAGTTCTGGTTCCTGATAGAGCCAAATGATAAAAACGATATGCTAGCTAATTATTTGGCATAATAAAGCTGTCACATTAATGAACAGGAGTATCTGAGATTGCACCAATGTCAATTCTCCCATCTATAAATTGAATGCAATCATCACCAAAATTTCAACAGTATTCCAGAGCTGAAAAGAATAGAGAGCTGAGAATTAAGGTAATTTCCTAGAAGAAGATTAGATATTAAGATTCACATATAAACATCAAGCTTCTTACAAAAATATTGTAATTAAGACAGTTTAATAATGGGATAAAGAAAAAAGCCAATAGAAAACAAAAGACTAATATAACTAATGTGGCATGTATAAATAGTGGGGAAATAAATGGTACAAGGATCAGCTGATGGTAGCTTATCTCACCCTGCATAAAAAAATCAATTCCATATGAATTTAAAGACCTAAATGCAAAAGCAAACATTAAATATTTAGAATTAAACATAGTAATATATCTTCATGACCCTGGAGAAGTGCTTTCTTAAACAAGATACAGGAAGTACAATCTATAAGGGCTACATAGCCAAAAGAGAGGGAAAAAAAAGACTATTATTTCTCAGCCTCTCTTTACTAGGGTTGGGTCATATGAGTAAGAGCTACTCAATGGTATTCAAGCAAAAATAGGGTAATCAACTCCCCAGAAGTGTTCTTGAAGAACGGCTGCATACCTTTCTCTATCCCTTCCTCTTTTCTGTAACTGGAAGGTTTATCCACCTTATCTTGAGGAGCCACATTATACCATGAGTTTGAAGCTATATACTGAAGTTGACAGAGTATCAAGACAAAGAATCCCAGGACTTTGATGCTCAAGGAGCTACCCAAATCTGCCCTGAACAGCTCATCTCTGTACTTAATCTGAATGAAATGAACATTTATCATGTTGAAGATATTTTATATTAGGTTTTCTGCCATCATAGCCAAACCTAACCCTACCTGATAACAAAAATTGTTCTAAATAAAATATGTCCGAAATGCTAGAATAATATAAAAGAAAATAATCAGCTTTTCTAGGTTAGTATCAGGAAAGGCATCAGAAAAAAAAATTTTTTTTTGGATTTAAATCACAACTGGAATAATGCAGGGTCTGCCAAAGAGAAAAACACAGAGAAAGAATGACTTCTGACTACAGTCAGAGAAACAGCAGGCACAAATACATGAAAAATGATAATGAAGACAACAAAAAGTCCACATTTCTTTGAGATGAAGAATGGTAATGAAAAAATGCTACCATTTACTGAGCACTTTATATGTACCAGATTATCTCAAATAATCCTCACAATATTGCAATGGGATAGTATTTTATGATGGTTCAGAAAGAATAAGAAATTTTCCCAAGACACACAGCTAGAATGTAGCTATGCTGGGCTTCAAACCTAAGCAGTACCATTTAACAACTGAGCCACCCCTACCAGGCATGTGCCCTGACTGGGAACCAAACTGACAACCCTTTGGTGCACAAGACAAAGCCCAACCAGCTGAGCCACACTGGCCAGAGCCCAAATAGTTCAATCTTTTAAAAAATAATAAAACAGTTATTATTTACAGCTTATGCTTTCCTCATAGTTCTAGCTCAATATGTTTTCCCCCTAACTATTTATTGCCTTAACACAGTGCCTCAAATGATAAGGGCAAGAAAAGTACAAGGAAGATGGTGAGAATGTGTATTTTATGCAAAAATTAAATAACAACTGATAATCCCACAAGAAAAAAAGGGGACTTGGGATTTCCTTAAACTACTAGTAAAGTGCTCAAAACTACTAGGGTTTGACACTGTGTCTTTTCAGTCAATCGAAGAAATTATCAACTGTATACTCACCACACTAAAATCAAGACTGTCTTCAATCCATTTTTGACCATCTCGGAATTCATCATGGAGTCCCATGATATAAAGGGTATCCAAAGCATCTACTATGGTAGCACCCATTTGTGAACTTCCTATATTTGAAGAGGAAAAACTGTCATTAAAAAGATGGCCTTCCCATAAGGCCTATTGTAATATTTTATACTAGAGGCCCAATGCACAAAAATTCATGCAAGAATAGGCCTTCCTTCCCCCGGCTTCCCTCCAGCACCCAGGACCCAGGCTTCCCTTCTCCGGCCGCCCACAGGCAACCCAGGACCCAGGCTGGCTTCCCTTGGGCCACCCGCAGGCACCCGGGACCTGGGCTGGCTTCCCTCCGCCCCGGCTTCATCAGGAAGGACATCCAGAATGATGTCTGGAAGATGTCCGGTCTAATTAGCATATTACCCTTTTATATTACAGATATAAAAAGACAATAAAAGTAGGAATATTAGGACCCAAAAGAATAACCAACATGGTTCACTTTTCTGTAAGAATAGATAATATACATTGTTTAATATATCTTCCTAAAGATGGCACATTGACAACTAATAAGATTTTTAAAAAAACCAAAATTATAATTATCCTTACTTTTCTTCTTGGTCATAATATGAGAGCTATCTATTTAACTAAATTAGGTTAAATAAAAAAGGATTAATTTAAGAAATGGGGAGGTTGATTCAAGATAACAAGCTAAGTCATAAGACTGTTAGGGATGGGAGAGAGAAATCAAATAGTGGGGACTTGCTATAGTTCTAAGAAATATTAATCATGCTCTGTTAACCATGATTAAAGAAAGCACATTCTGACCTGTCTGGAGTTGTAGGCCCCCAGACTTGGGAGTTAACCTTGAAATGGGGTCTATTCTCCTATCATCATGAAAAGATTAGCAACCTTCTTGGGAAACAATGGAATCCTGGAGGCATTCCCCCCACTGCCTGTAATCTGTAACTATTTTACCCATTTTTATTCCATTTGCATACCCATTCTTATTCCTTTTGCCTAATTCCACACATAATCTTTTTCTTTCTTCCCAATATAAGTAGCAGGCTTATGGGGGCAGAGGAGCAGAGCAGATTTTTGTGGATGACCTGCTGGTCTCCCATGCTGCCAGCAATATTAGAAAATAAACATTAGAAAATAAAAATGCTCATATACGATTCAACCCTGTCTCTGCTTAATTGGCTTAAGTAGTGACAGGCAGTCCAGACCTATTTATTGTCCGGTTTCAAGACAACCATGCTCTTCTGGTACAAATTCATAGAAAAGGCAAAATATCTATTTAAAAATAATAATACAAGTACAACAAGGCTAGACAATCATGGAACAGAAATTGCAATAATCCTTAACAATCAAAAAGCAGGTTGATCATACTGAAAAAGGAAGCCATAAATCAAATGTGAGTAGAGAAAATCAAAATAATAAGATTTACCCATCTACAAGAAAGAGATAATCCTAATCTTAAAGGAAATGTTTCCATGAGGTAGGAACTAATTCAAAAAATCTAGCTGAGCCTGGCTGGCATGCCTCAGTGGTTGAGCATCGACCCATGGACCAGTTCATGGTTGGATTCCCAGTCAGAGCACATGCCCAGGTTACAGGCCTGGTCCCCAGTAGGGGACATGCAGGAGGCAGCCAATCAATGATTCCCTTTCATCATTGATGTTTCTATCTCTCGCTCTCCCTCTCCCTTCCTCTCCAAAATCAATAAAAATATATTTTTTTAAAAAGCTTGCTGATACCAAAACTAGATACTAAAAACACATGACAAGAATCAAGCCAATCTTACTAATGAATATAATCGCAAGATTCCTGAATAAAATATTAGCAAACAAACATAGTAGCACAGAAAAAAAATAAAAGGGAGCAAATGGGTCCTCCCCAACCCCAGGAATGCAATTATTATTTCTATCTTCTCAGAATGAAAATCATCCACACAGCTTACTATCTACATTAACATGACTTTATTATTATACTGTCTTCATCAAGAGTTTACTGTTCCAGGAGTTTCTTGCTCAGAATGATGAAAGTTGCAAAATAATTTTATTGTTCACTCCAGGAACTTCCTGAGAGACCCATCAACTCTTCAACAGAAAGTACCACAAGATGGATTACACGCCAAAGCTCTGAACTCTGCCTCCAAATTTCCTGCTTACCAATCCTAAATTATTAGATCATGATCCTTATCTGATCATCATAAACAAGCCTCCTCCAATTAAAAGGCCCATCTAAAAAAAACAGATTTTAAATCTCAATAAACATCTCAACTTTTTCCTTCCCCATCTGACAGGCTACTAAGGCTCTGCTGAGGTAGTGATCTACTTTACAAAGTAAGCATTAAACAAAGATAAAGTTTTGTCTTAACAAGTTATCTGGTGATATTTTAGGAATCAACATTTGACATTACTTAATTTACTAGTCTTTCTTTTCTTTACTTTTTTCTTCTGGTCCTTTCACTACTGGGTAAATAGTATTTTCTTCTGAAAGTTTATAGCCATACAACCGTAATAGAAAAAAATTTTTTAGTAAATTAATTAAAGCATATCTGAAAATCTCAAAAAAAAGTAACAGGCTTGCGTTTGAAAAAAATTAATGCTTTGATTTAGTAAAATAAATAAAACTATACAAATTTGTTCTTATAATGGTTATCCTTCTTCACTTACATCACATTTTCTTATTCATGTGCTCCTAATACTTTTTTCAACTTATCAAGTATCCTATATAATAAAAGGCTAATATGCAAATCAACCGAACGGCGGAACAACCGGTCACTATGATGTGCACTGACTACCAGGGGGCAGACGGTCAATGCAGGAGCTTCAATGCAGGTGCCCCCTGTGGTCAGTGTGCTCCCACAGGGGAGCGCTGCTCAGCCAGAAGCTGGGTTCACAGCTGGTGAGCACAGCGGTGGTGGCGGGAGCCTCTTCCGCCTCCACAGCAACAATAAGGATGTCTGACAGACAGCTTAGGCCCGCTCCCCGTGGGTTCCTGGACTGTGAGAGGGCGCAGGCCAGGCTGGGGGTTCCCCTGCCCCTACCTGCGAGTACACAAATTTTGTGCACCAGGCCTCTAGTATCTTGATAACAAGTACTCCACCACACTCTGGTAAATTCCTTAGTCTTCTCCCAACTCCATGTTGATATTAACTAGAATGTTCTGAGTTATTACAGACATACTTTCACTTTTCTTGTTCCTCAGATTTTATTAAGATAACAAAAGCTTTATTAAGCAATTTAATCACCCATATATCCCGATCTCTTCCATAATCACTTATTTATCTCTTTAGTATTTTGTCCAAAATATTTATCATGCTTATTTTAAATCCTTAAGGAGAGTACCAGTTTTTGTTCTTATTTCAAAGTTTATAGGTAGTTTTAGGTTTGTGCCATCGGCTAAAAGCCCCAAGGCACAGACAGGCAAAATTATTAAAAGATACATGCAGCTAATTTTGACTACTAAAACTTCTGCAGATTACATTTTCCACTTTGTCTACCATTTCACTATCATTTTCTTCTCACACTGGATTTTTCCTGTGTGCTGATACTACCTTTTCCTTTCTTGAAGGATTCCTGAAGCAGTATAGAACAGTGGTTATAAGCATGGATCTTAGCACTAGAATGTTTGGATTCAAATCCTGGCCCTATTATTTCCTAATTGTGTGACCTAAGAAAAGTTAGTTGATCCTAAATGTGCTTTGGCTTTCCCATCTGTAAAATAGGAATAATAATAACTGTCCCTGTCTCATAAGATTGCTGTTAGTCCAATTCACATCAATCTCTGAAATAAGTCTGTGGCATACAGTATGTTTATTAGACTGTTCAGGCTGCCGCAACAGAATATCATAGACTAGGAGGCTTAAACAACGGAAATTTATTTTCTCATAGTTCTGGAGACTAGAAATCTAAGATTAAGGCTCCAGGTTTTGGTGAAGGCTTTCTTCCTGGCTTGTAGACATCCACCTTCTCACCATGTCCTTCACATGCTCTTTCCCTCGTGTGTGTACATGGGAAGAGCGCGATCTGGTGTTTTTTTCTCTTCTTGTAAGAGGCCCCACACTTATGTAATTTAACCTTATTGAGATTAGGGTTCCACACTTAACACCTCATTTAACCTTAATTAAGCTTAACTCCCAATTAGGCTCTATCTCCAAATATATATTGGGTGTTAGAGCTTCAACATGTAAATTTGTGACAGACACAATTCAGTCTACAGCAGAATAAACTATGTAAATACTATAGATGTTTTACTATTAATGTGTATATAACTATTGCTCTAAAGGAAAATAGAGTCTTATTCAACAAACCAAATTTCAGAATCTAAAGCACATTACTGACCTCATGTCAGATTGGTAAAAGAAGGTAAAACATTTTATTGGAATGTATACTTAATTACTATTCATTGTAAGAATGATCCCTCTGAAATGGAGGACCACTGGGAAAATCCTGCTTCTATACCCAGTTAACCCAGAAGGAAAGGGCTTCTTTTGTAAAACCTCCCTTTCCAACACTGTAACTTACTTTAACTTTTATGATCTCACAAATAACTCTCAGTGTGTCCAGTAAACCAATGGCCAGCTAGCAAGAACTCTCCTGACAATAATCTGAACCTACCAGGACCCATCATCACTTACCAACCTAACCAAACAGTGATCTACAAGTTTACATTTGAAGAAGTCTGACCAAATTACCAAAAATTAAAACTGCCTTTCATTTTTTAAAGATCCTATTATTTTTTTTAAAAAAAACATTAAGTCAAAACTTCTCCATTAGGATTTAACAAAATTACATTCAGTTAAGAAACATCCCTTTTGCTCACTTAAAAGATCTGTATTGACTTCTAAGGAATGAAATTTTTAGTTACAGGAAAGCTCATTTATCTTCTGAATTTAAATTCAGCAATCTTTCCTTACATAATTATTGCAATGATTATATGAAATAATGTGTGACTTACCTACTACCTTGCCTAGAACCAGTATCTATTTGATAAATGTTAATACATTAAATGTTCTGAGAAAGAAGGTTTTATAAAAAACAAGCAGAGGCCCTACCCAGTTTGGCTCAGTGGATAGAGCGTCGGCCTGTGGACTGAAGGGTCCCGGGTTCGAATCCAGTCAAGGGCGCATGCTGGGGGGGTTGCAGGCTCGATCCCCAGTGGGGGGTGTGCAGGAGGCAGCCAATCGATGATTCTCTCTCATTATTGATTGTTTTTATATCTCCCTTCCTTTCTGAAATCAATAAAGAAAAGAGAAGAGAAGAGAAGAGAAAAGGAAAAGAAAAAAGAAAAGAAAAGAAAAAAAGAAAAGAAAAAAAAAGAAAAGGAAAGAAAAGAAAAAAAGAAAAGAAAAGAAAAAGGAAAAGAAAAGAAAAAAACCAACAAGCAGAGGCCCTGGTTGAGTAGCTCATTTGGTAGAGCATCATCCTGATACACTAAGGTTTCCGGTTTGATTCCAGTCAAGACACATACAAGAATCAACCAATGAATGCATAAATAAGTGGAACAACAAATCGATGTTTCTCTCTTTCTCCCTTCCTCTCTAAAATTTTAATTTAGAAAATTAATATCCAACTCTTGTTTTCAGTACACTTTTATACTCCAACCCTTTACCACTGAGTTTAATTTAACGGGATATTTACTTGAAGAGAGGATATTTATTTATTTCAACAAGGGTGGTCTTTATTAGGAGGCTGCTGAGGGGCAGGGGGCTGAGGGACAGGATGGGGTGGCCAGGCCCAGGCCCAGGCCCAGCTGCAGGCTTCAGCGACCTCTTAGAGCTGGGAGCAAGGTCCAGCAAGCCCAGGCGACTCCCCCAGGTCAGGGTGTGCAGCAACTCAGACCTGGTCAGGCCACTGGGAAGTAGTGGGGGAGCCGCCGCAGGTAGATGTCTTCGTCCTTCTCCAGAAACACACAGATGATCAGCCGGTCCACCTTGTCCTTGTGCTGCTCCAGCCACTCGCGCAGCGTGACCAGCACCACCTCTGCAGCTGCCTCGTTGGGGTAGCCAAACACTCCGGTGGAGATGCAGGGGAGTGCGGCGGAGCGGAGCTGGTGCTCCAGCAGCAAGGCGAGGCTGCTCAGGTAGCAGCTGCGGAGCTTGGCAGCCTGGCTGGCGCTGGGCGCTCCGCGGACGATGGGCCCCACCGTGTGGATGACATACTTAGCCGGCAGCCTATAGCCGCTGGTGATCTTGGCCTTCCCAGTCTCGCAGTGCTGCAGGGTCCGGCACTCCGCGGTGAGGAGGGGCCCGGCGGCCCGGTGAATGCAGCCGTCCACACCGCCGCCTCCGAGCAGGGAGTTGTTGGCGGCGTTGATAATGGCGTCCACCTCCAGCTTGGTGATATCACCTCGGAACAGGGAGATCTTCTCATTGAGATGCTTGTCCTTTTTGTACTTGGGCTCCTCCACCTTCGGGGTTAACCCTTTCGCCGTCTCCTTCCAGGTCGGGATCTTCTTCAGCCTGATGAAGTCCTGGCAGAAGTAATGTTCCTCCCGCTGCTTGTCACTCAGGCCCTTCAGAAAGGATTTTGCCTCCTTCCAGTTGGTGCAGGTGTTCGGGTCCACTTTCGCCGCCAAGGCCAGGGGGGCCCAGGTGCACACCCCAGCTCTCCGCCCCACCGCCAGCGCCTCCCAAGCCCCAACTCCCGCTGGGGTCCGCGTGCGGGGCCCGTTGGCATCAGGGGACGCCGGAAGACCGCATGCACTGCTGCGGGTCCACTTGGCACAGGCTGAGGTGCCTGGCCAGGGGTGTGGGGCACTAAGCAGCTGTCCCGCCAAACACAGCTGTGCCAGGGGGCCAGGGACTCGGCTCTGCAGAGACATGAGCGGTCAGCCGGGAGTGGGTCCCGCCCACTTGGAGTTCCGGTACCAGGTGGCGCATGTCAGCCCGCAGGGACAAGCTCCTAGAGGATCTAATTTTAATTAACCATTAAATATAATGGATTTTACTGCACTAATGTCTCACATTGTGGCATCCACACAGCAATGGGAACTTTTCCATCTGTAACCTCTGCTGAGGAAATATACTTATTTCATTAAGTGATCTCTAAATTAAATGTCATATAATGAGATCTGACATTTCGTTATAATTTTAAATAATACTATAAATATTTTTAAAAATTTTTCCATTATTCCTCCATCCCAACATCTTTCAAACCCAGGAAAAATTAACTTTCCAGTCATTTTCTTTTTTTACAGAAAGCATCCAAGCAAAAAAAACAAATTGTAAGGGAATTATAGCATTAGAAAAATTCTTCCACAGTTTTACAAAGAAATATGCTGCTATTTGAAGTACTGTAGTGATTTGTTACAACTAGTAGAGACAACTACATTGTATATGACTAGTTTATGTGCCTTGTTACCCCAATAGTATTTTCACCTATTTTTATTTAAAAGATATCCCTCACAACAAGATTTATAATAGTGGAAAGAAGTGAAGATTCTAAAAACAGTTTTTATAATTCTCAAACTTATCATTGGACTAAGTAAAAGATGTTAAGTTAGTTAAGTAAGTTAACTTTGAACTAAGAAGTTTAACAAGTGGGCTGAACTCAAGAAAGGCAGAACGTTAGAGTCAACACAGCTCTTCCCCAGACTTCCATCCACATTCACATTGTTAATTTTTCCTTTGTAATTGTGAATGTATAAAATAACCCACTCAATTTACCAAGTAGATCGCCTTGGGCATGTTAATTTTTTTATGTGTAGGCATCCCTCATTTTATTGCGCTTTGTATTACTGTGCTTCACAGATACTGTGTGTTCTTTACAAATTGAAGGTTTGTGGCAACCCTCTGCCGAGCAAGTCTATCAGCCCCAATTTTTCCAACAGCATTTGCTCACTTCACATTTTTATTATTCTCACAATATTTCTAACTTTTTCATTATTGTGATGGTGATCAGTGGTTTTTAATGTTACTTTTATAATTATTTTGTGGTGCCCATATAAGATGCAAAACTTAATAAATGCTGTATATGTTCAGACTGTTCCACCAACCAGCTGTCCCCCGTCTCTCTCCCTCTCCCTCGGGCCTTCCTATTCCCTGAGACACAACAATTTAAAATTATAGTAATTAATAAACCTACAATGGCCTCTAACTATTCAAATAAAAGGAAGAGTCGCATGTCTCAATTTAAATTAAAAGCTAGAAATGATGAAGCTTACAGAGGAAGGCATGTTGAAAGCCAAGGTAGGCTGAAAGCTAGACCTTTTGCACCAGTCAGCCAAGCTGTGAATGAAAATAAAAAGTTCTTGAAGGAGATAAAAAGTGCTATTCCAGTGAATACACAAATATTTAAAAAGGAAAACAGCCTTATTGCTGATATAAAGAAAGATTTAGTGGTCGACAGATCAAACCACCTATCTGTGTATTCCAAGGCAACCATAACCAATCTTGACTGAAACTTGAGAAAAAATACATGTTGCTTCAAATTATAATTCCATTCCATAGAAATACTCAGGGTTTAGAAAGAATTCAAAAAGTTAAGTCTTGTTTTAAAAATGGACATAGAAAATGGAAATAGTAATCAGAAAAAGTAAACTTACCAAATATATTAGTAGAGTGTCCTTTCTTTGCAATAGGTCTGAGTTCATTATGTCCCCATCCATATATCCTATAATTATCCCAGGCATGTTTCATCATCTGAGAAAAGAAAAATTATAAACCATCAATTTACATTATTCACACTGTTATCTTTGTAATTTATGTAATTTAAGGGTTCCATTCCTATATCCTTACATATTCTTCTATATCTCCTACATTAATCAGCCTTACTCATAATATGTTATTCTATTAACATTTGTATCAGTGTGAAGTACACATTATAATGTTTAATCTCAGGGTCTATGCAACACAAGGAAAAATTGAGTGTAACAGACAAGTCCTTTTATATTTAGAAGGAAGGTGTCTGTTTCATATCCTTTGCTTTTAGGAAATGCCAATCCTTTTGGGAATTGTTCTCTTCCCCCACTGTGATTATGATAGAGCTGTCAATCAAGAGGCTCTGATTCCACAACCAATTAACACAGCCTGACTAGACCAAAGATTAGCACTCTTTCTTTAAAGTAAGTATTTTAGACTTTGCAGTCCATACAGTTTCTATACCAACTACTTAATTATGCTGTCGTAGCACAAAAGCAGCACTTGAAAACACATAAACAATGAGCATGACTGTTCCAATTAAACTATACTTTTAAAAAATAAAGGCAGAATTTGGCCCACAGGTTGTGGTTTACCTACTTCTGACCTAGACAAAGTGATTGTATATATGTGATTCAAGTAGGGATATTCATGTCCTTTTATACATATTATTATAGATGATAGGAGACAGAAGGCCTCTCTCATTTTGCAATCTCAAACTCCAAGCAATATGTAACCCTAGAGCTGATGGAGGCTAACTCTCTCCCAAAATGGAGAAACTAAATAATGAGAGAAAGAGACAGATACATATTATTGACAGTAACATCTATAGACTTGGATTCAGCAAAGCTTGAAGCCCTCAGCTACACTAATAAATATTTTTATATCAAGAAGATTGAACTAAGTTTCTTACAACTCAGAAGTCTAAGCAATACAATAGCAAAGTATTTATATATCAATTGAATTATTTAATAGATTGTAGTGTATCAAAAATCTGTTCATTTAAAGTACACTATTCATGAAAACATTTCTCAAGTTGCTTTTTGCAGCCAGCCTTACTCTTCACCAAAAGTAGACAAGGACATTACAAGGAAACTAAAAACCAATATAAAACACAAATGCAAAACTACTGAACTAAAAATTAGCAATATATGAGGACATAATGACCAAATGCAGTTTAACTCAAAAATATAAGACTAATTTAACATTCAAACACCAATCAATATAATTCACTATGTTAACAGAATAAAAAGAAAACCATCCTCCAATAATCTTTATAGATGTAGACAAAGCATCTGACATAATTAAACACCCACTCATGCTAAAGACTGTCAATGAGCTATAACTACAAGGAAACATCCTCAATGTAATGAAGGGCATTGTCAAAAAAAACTATTTCTAACAACATATTTAATGGTAAAAGACCAAATGCTTAACCCCTAAAATTGAGAAAAAAAATCAAGTATGTCCACTCTCACTACTTCTTTTCAAAAATGTACTAGCAGTCCTAGAGAGTGCAGTAAAAGAAGAAAAAGAATTAAAGACATAAAAAGGTAAAAGTTTCTCTAGTCACAAAGGACATGACTCTGTACAAGGAAAATTCTAAGCAATCTTTTAAAAAGCCACTAGAATTAATAAATGACTTCAGGAAAATAACAGGATAAAAGTTTAGCAAACTAAAATAAAATAGATCCCTATATGCTAGTAATGAACATCAGAAATAGAAATTTTAAAACAATTCCATTTATAATAGCATCAAAAAACCTGACATACTTAGGAATAAATATAACAGAATATGTGCAATAACTATATAATAAGAACTACAAAATACTGCTGAGAAAAATTAAAGAAAACCTAAAAAAGTGGAAAGATATGGAAGACTATAGTTAAGATGACAATTTTTCCAAGTTCATTTACAGATCAATAAAATCCCAATCAAAATCCAGCAACCTTTTATTTTCACAGAAAAGTTAATTATAGAAAGGCAAAGGACCTAGAATGGCCAAAACAATTTATATAAAGAATAAAATTGGAGGACTTATCTGATTTAAAAACTTACTATAAATCAATCAACACAGTGTCATATTGGCATTAAGAATAAGTATGTAGATTAATGAAATAGGTATGAGTCCAGAAAGAGACTCAACACCTACTGATTTTGTCAACTGATTTTGAACAAAAGCATCAAGATAATTCAATCAGAAAAGGATAATCCTTCCAACAACTGGAACAACTAGAAAGCCCTATGTGAAAAAAATAATGCAAGACCTTTACTTCTCATAAAAAAAAAAATTAACTCACAGTATAACAACAGATTGAAATGTGAAAACTAAAACTAAAGCATGTGCCCACACAAGACTTGCACACAAATGTTCATAGCAACTTTATTCATAACAGCCAAAAACTGAAACAAATGTTGAGCAAATGTTCAACAGGTGAATGAATAGAACCATGGTATACCCATAAAAAGGAATACCACTAAGAAAAAATTACCTTTGGTGCATCTGCACAGATAAATCTCAAAAACATTATGCTGAGCAAAAGCCCAGCAACAAAATATCACAGACTTTATTATTACATTTGACTGAAACTCTAGAAAAGGCAAATCTAATCTATAATTACTAAAAGCAGATCAGTGGTTGCCAGGGACAAAGGAATCAGGTGGACTGACCTGAGAGGACAAAACTGTTTTAAGATTACAGACATAGGGGAGACCAAGATGGCGGCATAGGTAAACACCGCAGACTGCTGCCGCAAACAACCACTTCAAAAATACAACTAAAAGACGGAACGGACATCACCCAGAACCACAGGAAGGCTGGCTGAGGAGAGACTCTTCAACTAGAAGGAAAAATAACAGCACACCGAGGCTCAGAGGAGGCGCAGTGTGGAAAAAACTCAGGTGCGGAGGTGCGCGCGCAAAGCGGGCTGGTGGCTGAGAGCGCGGTTGTCGTTTTCGGTCAGGGGGGAGTCTCAGACTCTGAGCTCCAGATACGGGCGAATCGCTGGGGACTCGGACCCAAACGGGAGAAGCGGGAGTGTCTGGCATCAGTTGGAAGGCAGCTTTCCCTCCGAGGTTTGCAGCGGTTCCGGGGGTTCTGAGAAGCAGAGCCTCTGGGAACGGGACTGAGAGGGGCCATAACCGCTCCCTCCGCCCGCCCGCCCTGTTGAGCCCGCCCCGCCCAAGCCCTGCGCAGAGCCATTTGCCAGATCGCCTCAGGCAAAGGCTAGATTAGCACCTCCCCAGAGGACAGAAGTTTTCCGCGGCAGACACAGCTGATTCACACAGCCAGTCGGCCTGGTGGTCAAATCCCTCTAGTATTAACTACAACAATCAAGGCTCAACTAGAACAAGACTGCGCACAAAGACCACTAGGGGGTGCACCAAGAAAGCATAAAAAATGCGGAGACAAAAAAACATGACAGAAATGGAGGATATAGAGCTAAAAAACGCAATTTTGAGGGCTTGCAATAAACTTCTGGAGAGCCTCACGAAAACTAATGAGACCCTCGATGCTATGATAAAGAAACTAGAAATTAAGCATACACGCTCTGAAATAAAGAATATTACACCCAATAGCAGACCAGAGGAGCGCAAGAATCAAGCCAAAGATTTGAAATGCGAAGAAGCAAAAAACACCCAACCGGAAAAGCAAAATGAAAAAAGAATCCGAAAATACGAAGATAGTGTAAGGAGCCTCTGGGACAGCTTCAAGCGTACCAACATCAGAATAATAGGGGTGCCAGAAGATGAGAGACAGCAAGATATTGAAAACCTATTTGAAGAAATAATGGCAGAAAACTTCCCCCACCTGGTGAAAGAAATGGACTTACAGGTCCAAGAAGCGCAGAGAACCCCAAACAAAAGGAATCCAAAGAGGACCACACCAAGACACATCATAATTAAAATGCCAAGAGCAAAAGACAAAGAGAGAATCTTAAAAGCAGCAAGAGAAAGAAACTCAGTTACCTACAAGGGAATACCCATACGACTGTCAGCTGATTTCTCAACAGAAACTTGGCAGGCCAGAAGGGAATGGCAAGAAATATTCAAAGTGCTGAATACCAAGAACCTACAACCAAGAATACTTTATCCAGCAAAGCTATCATTCAGAATTGAAGGTCAGATAAAGAGCTTCACAGATAAGGAAAAGCTAAAGGAGTTCATCACCACTAAACCAGTATTATACGAAATGCTGAAAGGTATCCTTTAAGAAGAGGAAGAAGAAAAAGGTAAAGATACAAATTGTGAACAACAAACATGCATCTATCAACAAGTGAATCTAAGAATCAAGTGAATAAATAATCTGATGTACAGAATGAACTGGTGATTATAATGAATCAGGGACATAGAAAGGGAATGGACTGACTATTCTTGGGGGGGAAAGGGGAATGGGAGATGCGGGAAGAAACTGGACAAAAATCGTGCACCTATGGATGAGGACAGTGGGTGGGGAGTGAGGGCGGAGGGTGGGGCGGGAACTGGGAGGAGGGGAGTTATGGGGGGGAAAAAAAGAGGAACAAATGTAACCTGAACAATAAAGATTTAATTAAAAAAAAAAAAAGATTACAGACATAGTCACATCTTGATTGTAATTACTGTTACACAGGTGTATCCACCTGTCAAAACCTATCAAACTATATACTCTTAAAATACGTATATTTTGTTGTATATAAATTGATTCAATAAAGTTGAATTTTTTAGAAAATCTAATAAGCTGCTCCACACATAATTACCACTCTCCTGAGACAATTACTCAAACTTTCACCTCTTTTTCTATTTACCTCTATATTGCTAAATATAGGTTACTAGAGGCCCAGTGCACGGGGAGAGGGGTCCCTCAGCCTGGCCTGCGCCCTCTTCCAGTCCAGGAGCCCTTGGGAGATGTCCAACTGACGGCTTAGCGCTGCCTCCCCCGACCGCTGCTGCGCTCACCAGCCATCAGTCGGGCTTCTGGCTGAGTGGTGCTCCCCTGTGGGAGTGCACTGACCACCAGGGGGCAGCTCCTGCATTGAGCGTCTGCCCCCTGGTGGTCAGTATGCATCATAGCGACCGGTCATTCCACCATTCGGTCGATTTTCATATTAGCCTTTTATTATATAGGATATAGGATATAGGATAGTGCTATTTCTTGATTTTTTTTGTTTTAGATATTTAGTATCTTCTCCTATAGTTAAAATAATTTAGCTCTCTTATGCCTCTATCAACTCATCTCCACATATACTTGTCCCCCATATATTTCCCTGACCCACATTTTCCCAATAAGTTGACATGTTTATCTTACAACTAGAGGCCCGGTGTACAAAATTCATGCATGGGTAGGGTCCCTAGGCCTGGCCAGCAATCAGGGCCGATCAGGTTCCCCACCTCCCCCTTCCCTTGCCACCCACACACTGCCACCGCACTGTTCCCCGCTTCCCAGCCTCCCCGCCTCCTCCTTCCCTCACTCCCTCAGCACCCCGCTGCCACCGCTGGTCGCTCACCATGCTCCGCGCTGACCCCTGATGGTCAGCACACGTCATAGCGAGCGATAGAACTCCCAGTCTCCTGGTCGAACTCCAGAGGGGACAATTTGCATATTAGCTTTTTATTACATAGGATTATTACATTACTTTGTTCAACTTTTGTTTTCCCTGCTGTTAGCTACTGGTCTGAGGGTTTGGTGGTTCTTTGTTTGATTAGTTTTTAATGTAATAATTATGATTTACCTCTAAAATTTGTGAGGTTTACAATTTGTCTCAATACAATTAAACACATCAGATAAACTGTCAGTTCCACTTTCTTCTGTGACATATCCTTCCTGAAACTCTATCCTCCTACTCTAATCTGGACTTATGTTCTCTCCACCTGAAGTGCAGCCATCATCCTGCTGATTCCCTTACTCATTCCTAGGAATGCTTCTTTATTCTCTCTAGTGATAGATACCCTGTATTCAAAACCCTTCTCTTCCTATTTTTGAGCTTAAGTATATTTTATAGCAATCTGAGAAAATGCCTAAATATATCTTTACCCTCAGATTTGATTCTTAATTTGATTGAACATAAAATTCTTCCTAGTTCCCAATATTATTGTTGAGGAATCTGATATGCCATTATTGTACAATCCCAATCTTATGAGTGGAACCTTTTTTTTCCTCTAAACTTTTAGGATTTTTTTTATGACTATTTTTCTAAAATTTCAGGACATTTTTTCTTTTTTTCTCATTGGGATGGATACCTGGCAGGTCCTTTCAATCTGGCAACCCACTTCCTTTAGATTTGGCTAATTTTCTTGAATTGTTTCTCTAACTTCTTCCCATTATTCCTATTCTCTTCCTACCATACCTATCTAATCACTTGTCAGATGTTCCAAATTGATCTTTTTTATTCAATTTTCTCAATTTTTTTGTCTTACTGAGATTTGCTCAATTTTAACTTCAACTCTTTTATTGCATTTTTAAATTCTATCATATTTTTAATTTCTAAGACCATTTTCTTACTTTATATAAAATGTTCCTTTTTATAACTTACTGTTCTTATTTCATGAATTAAATTTTCTGTCACTCCAATGGTGTTATTTTTTAACATACTTTTTTCTGCTCCTTGTATTGTTTCTGTATCCTCTGAATTTTTCTTCCATCTGTTTCTCATGTAAGAAAATTTTGGTAAATATCCAGTGATCTTTGATTTGCTCTCCACGTAAGCGTGAAGTGAAGCACTTACAAGACAAAGACTGTCAGTGAATGAGTAACACTAGTTGCCTGAGCCTCATCTTAGAGAGATCAGGTGAAGCCCAGGGGTGTTTGAGGAACAGAGTAGGTCTTTTCTCTTGAGCCAGTCTCCCCGGAGAGAAATCCTCCATTCTCCAGCTTACTGAATATAAACCTGGCTTCCAGAATTCTGAGAACTGAGCAGGAGAAAGTGATCACAATATTCAGATTCAGTTTTCACTTAATTCCCTCTACCCCCACCACTCTCTTCATTTTTCAGAATGACCTCTATGCTTTTACACAGCCATACCTGGTATTCCCCAAATCCAGATCTTCTCCAATTAATCCCTTCATAAGGTTAACTTTGGTCTTCTGTTGGGAAAAGGACAGTAGCTAGAATGCATAGTCTAGGGAATTACGGATCTAGAGGTTAAGTGCTCCTTTTAAAACTTTCAAATAATCCTTTCCCAGCTCTATTTTTAACTCCTGCCTTCAAAGGTAAATAGTGTCTAATTCTTGAAATGTTCTCTCATTCTTGACACTTTAAGGTATTCTGCTGTTCACATCACCTTGCTTATTTAGCTCCTTCCTCTGCAAGCTTGTGTTTCAACTTTCTCTGCTTGTTAAGTCAGTAACCATAATGTTTAACAGAAACCTACACAGGGGTTAATATGTTTTATGCTGATTTACAAGAACACTGGATAATATGGTGTTCTTAATCGAAAGCATCGGTTCTCAACCTGTGGGTCGCGACCATCGGAAAACACATATAGCGTATCAGATATTTACATTACAATTCATAACAGTAGCAATATTACAGTTATGAAGTAGCAATGAAAATAATTTCATGGTTGGGGGTCACCACAACATGAGGAACTGTATTAAAGGGTCGTGGCATTAGGAAAGTTGAGAACCACTGAAAAGGGTTAATTCAGCAGGTCTGGGTGGTCCAAACCCAGCACATCCCAAAGAAAGGTTTGGCCAGTGGTAGGCTCCTAGAAAATAACCTCTAACCCTTTATTACCCTGCCTGTTAAGAGTAACTGCTTACCTGAAGCCTTGGGCTGTGTCAGAGTTTATGTTAACAATGTGATTTATGGTAGGGGCCTTGGGCCACATGGTATTAGCCTGACCTCTGGAGGAGTTGGAGAACTAAGCTCAGCCAAGCAAGCCTGCATAACAAACCTCCAATAAAAGCCCTGGACACCAAGGCTCAGGTGAACTTCCCTGGTTGGCAACACTTCATGCACACTGCCACATATCACTGCTGGGAGAACCAGGCACTGTCTATATCACTCCAGCAGGTCTCTCCTGGACTCTGTCCTATGTGCCTTTTCTATTACTAACTTTAGTTTTATTGTAATAAACCGAAACAATAAATACAACAGCTTTGCTTAATCCTGTGCGTACTTCTAGCAAATCAATGAGCCTTTGGGTGGTCTTAACATACAGCTATCTATCTGAATTATTATGTACATGAGAAAGTATTTCAATAAAATCTAATGACATCTAAAAAAAGCAGGTCACCCATCTTACAAAAACAACAACTACCTATCAATGTCTCCCCAACACTGTCCAAAGAAAGTGCCTTAACAGTCTTGGCATAAAACAAAACATCAAAGGTGAGGTAAAATCAGAGTAAAGTTCTATTTTGATTCCATTGAGGTCGTCTTATAATAATTCATAAGATCAAGCTTAAAGTACCTGCTAAATCATTCATATTCATTACTAGAATATATCCATATAGATATTTGAATATTTGAATTAAATTTATTATCTTATTTTATGATAAACAATATCTTTGGAATATTGTTGTGCAATTACACCCAGACAAAATCTACATAGGCAATACAACTGCAAACTCCACCCGAAATTAGCTGGAGTTTTAATTTACAAAGTTCAACGGAAATATTCACTAAATTACACCCCCCCCACACTATGGCATTCTCTTTATCTCCAAGTCATTCCTAAAATAACGAACTGAAAGACTTCTGTGACTAAATAAATATAAAGAATTCTGAGATCAATCCCTCCCCGTTCTTCAGTCCATTGAGACTCTTTGGAAGGAATGTGTTCTTAATCTGCTGTATAGTTACGGGGTTTCATGGCACGTTCCCTAAAAGATGACAGATATGCCCAGCGGGCATGGTTCAGTGGCTGAGCGTCAACCTGAACCAGGTGGTCACCGATCAATTCTAGTCGGGGTACATGCTTGGGTTGCCAGTTCAATCACTGGTGTGGGGCGTGCAGGAGGCAGCTGATCAATGATTCTCTCTCATCACTGATGTTTCTATCTCTTTCTCCCTCTCCCTTCCTCTCTGAAATCAATAAAAATGTAATTTTTAAAAAGATGACAGTTATAAAGCTAACTCTTCAGAAGCATGTTTATGAGGAGATATGCATAGTATTCAGCAGAGTCCCTTATAACTTAACACTAAAGAAATTTCTTATTCAATGATAACTTATTTATAAATCTATTCTACATTATTTATAAAATGCTGACTATCAAAAGATCTCTGAACACAGGGAGAATGATGTAACCATCCAAACAACATTATAGCAAAATTTTAAGTGACCAATACGTATAACACATATTAAGAAAGAAAGTTCTAGTCCTTACTGTCAACTTGGAAAATGAACTACAACTATGACCCAAAAACAAACAAGACCAAAGTAAAACAGCATAAATGGTGTGCATATGTGTGTGTGTGTCTCCAGTCAAATATATATCTATAACCACTTCATATCATAAATCTCAGCTTATTGTTACATTACCTCTTTAATTTTTTCCCTTTTCTTTCTTATGTCATCATCTTCTGGATCTCCACCATTTATTCCTGAAAGGTTTGGTATAGGGACTGGTGGTAGTGGCTTTTTCTCTTTAATCTTCATTTCTTGGACTACCTTATTTTTCTCTGTCTGAATTTCTGCTCGTATTTCCTCTCTCGACTTTTTTAATTTTTCTTTTGCTTCTTCCAGGGCCTTCTCATGATCGGCTCGAATTTTATTCCTCAAACGTTCCTCTTCTTCCCTGTAAGAGGAGAAAAAAAGACTGGTTAGAATGACCCTTAAAACCTCCAAGCTTTAAACATGAAACTTAAAGTTTCCTCCACCAAACCCAGATAGTTGATTCCTACTCCTACCATTGAAAGACAGCAATGATCTGTGAGAGACTCATATTTATCTGCCCAAAGAACAGGATAAATATAACTCGGTATGAGCTCTGGATGCCAAAGAGCTAACACTTTACACAATGGAGGAAGAGGGAACCTAGAAAGAAAGTTACAATTTCAGGGCCAATGAAAACAGGAAACAGCAATCAGTAACTTATAAGTAGACACATGAAAAAAAAAAAAAAGGAGGGAGGGGAAGAGGGAGAAAGGACAAGACACATACCAGTGAAAAACTTGCGGAGAGAGAGAAAATTAAAAATAGAATTAAGAACTCAGTATCAAAATGGACAAAAATATAAACAGGGTCAAGGAAAGAGATAAGCAGAAAAATAAGAGGATGGAAATTCTTTCATTTTGTTATATAGTACATCATATTCTTCTACAACTTTTGCATTTTGGAAATAACAGAGCTTACAGCACAACGGTTCCCAACTAATGTGGGCATGACTACTTAAAAGTCTCTTGAGCCCTTGTTAAAAATACAGATTCCAATTCAGCAGGTCCGTGCGACACCCATGAATTTATATTATTAAGGAGAGCAGTAACTGGCCCATTTTAAACCACTGCACAGAAAGTGCTAAAATGTACAGTCTATGACAGGGGTGGGCAACCTTTTTGTGAGTGCGTGCCAAAACCAGCAAAATCTCTGACTCAAAATTCTTCTGCGTGCCAACCCTAATTTTTTGAGAACATGTTACGCCTACTTGATATCTCTTAAGGTGTACGTATGTGAAGAACCTTGAAGAAATAATAAAATTCATTCGAGCGACAAAAACACAGTATATGATGATGAAAAATACATTTATTTTTTTTAATGTATACATGTTATGTAAAATTATTTATTTATCTAAGATGCACCTACACTGAATTTATCTGAAAAATAAAAAAGTCGATATTAAGAAAAAAATTGTAAATGGAAGATTATAAGAGAGGGTTTCGCGTGCCAGCAAAAGTTACTAGCGTACCATGTTTGGCACGCGTGCCAGGGGTTGCCCACCCCTGATCTAGAAATCTACATTTCTAAATAGCACAGCACAAGTCAGAACTTCATCACTGTAATACAACTTAGGTTCTTTGCAGTTTACTTTACATTTCTTAAGATGTTAATATGTAATCTCCTATCTAACAGAAATTCACCAGTATATTGGGATTAGAATCCCTTCTCTACCTACAGACGTCAAATGGTTCTGGGTACTTTTTCTATTGTCTAACAGCAAGGCAAGGAAGGCCCTGTGATCTACACCTTTGAAATCAGATGCTCTGGCTGAAACTACAGATCTGGAGTAAGTGGCATAAAGGAACAATAACTCAATTTTAGAAGTCTCAATCATAGAAGTATGTGCTCCATGTGAGTGACATAGGTGCTTATGTAGGTGGGTTCTGACTTATGGCGAAAATCACGTTATGTTGCGCCGTAGGAACGGATCTCCGACGTAACCCAAGGACCTACTGTACTTTATAAATAAACTTAACAAACATAACCACATAGCTATACAGAAATAGTTTTAGATACATAAATACATAGAATTGTGCCAGATCTCAATTTAGCACAATGATTAGCACATTTTTTTCAGATGCCAGGGTCTAGTTCCTTATGGAAAAAAAGCTGCGGGAGCATTGCCCCTTATATCCAGATAGCCTAGTCCACATGCCAGAAACACGTAAGTTAATGGCATAAATGCTTATTGGGGGGGGGGGGGGGGGAGGAAAGATAAAACAATAACTTATCTGAACTTTTGAAAAATGCCAATGACCAGAGCCTCATCTAGGTGAAAAGAACCCCTAGAATCTGACTCCAAAGATGATAATATATGCTTTAAGAATGATATTGAGATTTGAATCTAAGATTTAAATGTTTCAGTCATGTCTGAGTCAAAATTAATCATCTTCATTATTCTCCAATAATCCCCAATACTTAGTATAATGCTTAGTACATAATAACTACTCCAAACATTTGCTGAATAAATATGACCAATATTTTTAAATGATAACAGCAATATCACTAAGGAGACATCAAGAGATCTGCCTAAGTAACAGAGGTTGATTTTATAAACAGGTAAATGTCAAAAAATATAAAAAGAAAACAGCATGCACATTATTCTTTGTAGTCTCTAGATTACTTCATATCCTTTTTTTTTAAAAAAAACTATATAACTTGTCTCTAAAGTTCTTGTTAAGATATGAAGAACAAAAGAGAACACTGTCAAAGACATCTCTCAATACTAACGCTAGGAAATTACAGTCTTAAATCAAAGAAAATTTCACAAGGTCTGAGGCCTGAATTACTAAAGGACTCTTGTTTTTCACAAAATCTGTCATACTATCCTATAGTCTTAGATAAAATAAGAGATGTAATTGTTAACCAGGCTCAAAAGTGACACCTGGAAATACTTCTGTAAATATACCTATTACCTTCAGGCTAGTATATAAAATGTTCAATAAAGTTTACTTTTAAACTCATGAAAAACAAGAATGTATATACCATTTCAATCATTTACTTTTTAAACTGGTACAGATTTCATTATATAAATAATCATATACAGTATTCTCCCCTTATCCACAGGAGATACATTCCAAGACCCCCAGCGGGTGCCTAAAACCATGAATAGTGCCAAATCCTATACACATTGTTTTTCCCCTATACACACATACTTTTTCACTTAAAGAAAGCAATGTTATGGCTTTTCTTTGGCACAACCGAATTGTCAGTATCACTACTCTTTTGCTTTGGGGCTATTATTATGTAAAACAAGAGTGACTTGAACACAAACATTGCAATACCAGGACAGTGGATCTGATAACTGAGAGGGCTACTAAGTGACTACAGGTAGTGTATACAGTGTGGACTCACTGGACAAAGGGATGATTCACTTTCCAGGAGGGACAGAGGAGGATGGAATGGGATTTCATCATGCTACTCAGAAGACACACAATTTAAAACTTATGAATTATTTATTTCTGAAATTTCCCATTTAATATTTTCTGACCATGGGTGACTTCAGGTAACTGAAACCACAAAAAGCAGAACCATGGACGGGGGGTGGGTAGATGACTACTGTAATAAATAAATAAATAAATAAATAAATTCTAGCCATTTATAAAATGATTTTTTAAATCTTATTTTTTTTTCAAATTCACATAGAGCAAAGGCAAAATAAAATAAATACAAAAGAGTACAGAAGTTGAAAATGATGGCAAAAGTTCCAAATTAATTTAATTACAAAATAATGGCATGAAACAATTTTAGAAGTAACTACTCCATAAGGTTCAGCCAAAGGCAAAGAACCAGCAAGCAAATAATAAATTAACAAGATTGAGAAAAGGAAAAACCAGCTCTCATTACAACAGTGCATTTTCCCAAGTATTCAACTCAGGTTCACGTTTGAACCTACGCTTTCTCAAAAACTTTATGCTTGATAAAAAGTTAAAATAACATCAGCCGAAAACAACTCAAGTATATGATTCTTATCACACACTGAAAAATTATTGTAAGAAAAGAAGGGGGAAAAATGTAGGTTTGAGAAAAGTAAATACTTTCTCAAACTCTTTTTTTGATACAAATTACATAAATGATTTAAAGAGATCCCATTTTATCCCAATTTGGCCAAACTCTCCCAAGAGGTCACTTCAGATTTGGTTATTTGAAAGAACGTGAACCCTTTAATCGATCACCTTCTAATAGTTACTTGACACATTCCACCTCTCAACTAAATATATATATATAAGGGTAAAATTAAATTTTAAAACATAAACCAGATCTTGTCTACATGACTCTCAAAGTGAAACGACAAGATTCAATGGCATCTTTAACTTAACTGATTCCACATAGAGTCCCCAAAGGCATCCCCTGAAAATAACAACAATTAGGGCATTTCTGCATGTTAAGAAATGATGCCGGGCCAACGTGGCCCAGGAGTTGAGTGTGGACCTATGAACCAGGAGATCACAGTCCGATTTCCCGTCAGGGCACATGCTGGGGTTGCGGCTCGAACCTCAGGAGGAGGCAACCCCATCAATGATTCTCTCTCATCATGGATGTTTCTCTCTCCCTCTCCCTTCTTTCAAATATATGTGTGTGTGTGTGTGTGCATATATCTATCTATATATATATAATGTGTATATGTGTGTGTGTGTGTATGTATGTATGTATGTATGTGTGTGTATATATATATATAAATGACAGGTATATTCTGCCCGTCTTTGTCTTCCTAAAAAGCTAAGGTTCACTACCAAGCTTTAATTACAAAGTCAGAGAACGAGAGCCCTTTAGGAGGGGACGAACCCGTAGAAGCTGTCAGGATTCAATCAATACATCTATTTCACCGGGTGGCACAATGACCGAATGCAGCACATTCTTAATAAATGAAGGCACAACCTAGGTCACTATTTCTTTAGGTTACACCTCTGGACACAAATGCTTCTCCTGTACAAAACGAAGGAGCTGGACACTAAATGGGGCTCCAGGAGCCCTTTCAGTCCATGGTTCTACTAAACCAGTTTTGAAATAACAAGTTGTTTTCACAATTTTCACAACTCGGGGAAAATTACATTTTACTGAAAAAAGAAGGCGGAGAAAAGAAAAACACAACAAACCACAAACGACAGATCTGATGCAATAAATCATACCTTGCTCTGCCCAATGTCACCACCACAACTTGTGAAAGGAACCAACCTGTGTCGATGCTCATCCGGCCCGTGAATCAGGAAGCCTCCGGGGTTCTTCGCCCCTTTGTGGGCATCGACGTGCGGAATCAGCACATCTTCCAAACCCAGATCAAAGCGTTTGTGTTTCGAAGAGTCTGGAAGGAAGAAGAATGCCCCAAAACACAGGGTGATGAAGGCACTGAGGATGAGCAGGAGGATAAACTTCTCGGAAAGTCTCAAGGTGGCCCGGTGGTGCGGGAAGGAGGGCGGCCCCAGGTTCAGGGGCGGGATCCTCCGGCCGGACAGGGGCAGCAGGGCGGGGGCGGTCATCGTTCACGCTCTCGCACGAGATGTGGTATCCAGTCCTCCTCTCCCGGCAAATGCGCGACACATGGGACCCCCTTCCGTGCCCGGGCAGCGACGGGGAAACGCAGCTGCTCTCCTCGGCCAGGACCGCGGTGCTTCCTCCACAGGGCGCCTCCCCGCGCGGGCCCGGGACACTCAGAC